ATTTGGGTCACAATGGCTACAGAGTATGAAATAATTAATTCTTGTCATGTTTGGATATGTCTTACATTTGTCAGATGTTGGTTTGCAGCTCAAACATCAAGTCAATTTAGCATATTATACGCATGCTTGTATGACATATTGAAGGGAATATCACTTATTATCAGATGTCTTTATCCATTGGCTTTAAACGTTATATATTTCATCCAATTATGTGGTTAAAATATTTTTTAATGTTAAGATCTATTAACATGATTAATTATACATTTATGCAAAATAGTGAGTGATTTTCGTGTGAGCTGCTAGTGTGATTAGATGCACAGTTAAACAATGCCCTCAGCACAACAGAATGCATGCTAACGCCCTTCATTTTTTAATCGGAAATTTAGATTACATCATCTAGATTTTATAAATACCTATCTTTGAAAGAACAGACCAGCACAGACCAGCAGTTATCTTTAAGACCATGTAGAATGGTATGAAAAAAATGATAAAAAGCAATGGTGTGTTTAATGGCTGAACAGTTCCCAACATACTTCTTGAGTAAAGAAAACAAACGCTAACACTAATTGTCTGACAAAACAAGAACGTTTGAAGTCAGTTTACCAGTCAAACATTGTTGTTTAGTCAAGGCAAGAAAAGCATTGTGGGTAATCCGTTGTCCAGTATTGATGCTACCTGACTGGCGGCCATTCTGTCGTATTTACCACAAGTAGCCTCACTTTCATTTCACTGGGCGGCCATTTGGGAAGAAACACAAGATTTAAATTTCAGGATGTGATTGTTTCTCAAGTGCCCCGGCAAACATTTGTTGACAGATTTGGTTGTTTGTAACTGTTTGAGTTAATTGTGGCTATTTTTTCCTCTTTCGTGGACAAAAGAGGCTTTGGAAATGTTTCTAGGAGGGAGCGTGGCTAATGGGAATGTTGTTGTTTGGTGTCAAGAGGTCACTCGTCTTTCAACCAGTCACATTCGTGCAAGTATTGTTTAAGATACTATGTATACTGGCTATGATGTAATAGAGGTAGGGTATTCAAAGGAATTATCAAACAAAAGTTATCATTGCGTATGATTCTAAGATTCTAAGTGACGTATTCCCAACTCACGCATGCACAGTTGGTGCTGAGGATAGAGTTTACCTCACAACTATTAGATATGTGGCCAGTGAAGAGGACGTCTGTTGAAAGATTTTTTCTTGTGTAACACCCAAACAGGTATATGGCAATGATGTAATAGTGGTAGTATTCTTACAGTCGTAACTATTGTTTTCATTTCTGGTGTCGCCATGGTGATTTGCTGAACATTGCCTAAAGCGGTGTAAAACCATACTCACTCACTCACTCATTATTCCTAGGCTACCCAACATTTTCTACCAGTGATGTACCTTGCTTCAAATTCTTAAACTTAGGTCTTCACCATGTTCACAACCCATGCTTGTCATAAAAGGCGACTATGCTTGTCACAAGAGGCGACTAATGGGATCGGGTGGTCAGGCTTGCTGACTTTGTTGATACATGTCATCGTATCCCAATTGCATGGATTGATGCTCATGATGTCAATCACCGTGACAGACCGCCGTCATACAGCTGGAATATTGCTGAGTGTGACGTTAAACAAAACTTAGTGTCATGACAACTGATGAGATATCTATTTGAGACTGTTGATTCATTGTACTCTCCCATTTTGAAGGTTTGAAAGTGGTTTATTGTTCAAAGATGTTTGATATATTTGTTTGTTGTTTAACGCCACAGCAATATTCCAGCTATATGACAGTGTTCTGTAACTAATCCAGTCTGAATCAGACAATCCAGTGATTGACAACATGAGCATCGATACTGTGAGGATTGCTCCAGGGGTATGATGACACACAATCGACCCAGTCACGGAGCCTGACCACTGATCTATCTGGTCACCTTCATGACCAACATTGGTTGCTGGAGATCAGTTCTAAGCCGGACTGCCCACCGGCACTCGAAGATGATCCTATGTCCTATGTAGATTATATGTTCTGTTAAGACAGGTCGTCATGGGAGGTCTTCTATGAGGAAGTGGTTGTCAATGTGGATGATTTTTGTATTCACTCGTTAAGTCTCTTTCAGACTTTTACGCCCCAGTCAATAGGTGATATTTACCTTTAATTACACATGTTAGTGATAGGTACAGCTGCATCCTTCCTCAACGAAGTCTGACATTCACTTAGGGACGTGTTACATGGGCATACATCTCGCGTGGAAATAGACCGACCTCTGACCTCTGACTTCTGACCCCAGGTCAAGTCGACTGAAGACGTCCTCATTGCTTGAGTGTGGGTGTTGTTTTACAGGTCTGTTGTGATTTAGAACGTTTGTAAGAGGATTAACCTCATTCTTTGCGGTCTACAACATGGATGTTTTTAGCCCGCAGGAACTATTTTTTTGTCGAGTTTCTCCAGTGGCTGTGTCTTTGTGTGAAGATGGATGAACATTTTGTGTGTAACTTTGACATATTCAGAGGATTTGAAAACATTTGTCAAAGATTGTGAAGGATAGGAGGATGTTGTTTGTTGCCATGGTGATGCGGAACGTTGTGGTTTGTTTTCCTGCATGGTTTTACCAGTATGTTTTGTTTCCTTGTAATGTCCTGGCACAATCATGCTTCTCGGTGGGTGGCAGGATACCCTGTTTGTGAAAGTGTTCGCTCGTCACGCCGAAGGCATGGGTTCGACTTTCCACATGGGTACATTGTGTGAAGCCCATTTCTGGTGTCTCCTGCCGTGATATTGCTGGAATATTGCTAAAAGCGGCGTAAAACTCACTCAAGCTTGTCGGGTTCCAGGTCGACCTGAGTCCAGGGTCAGACCTGGCCCCACTGTTCCGGGTTAGAAGTAGCCTATCAGTGTGTGTTTGGTGACTTGGCTCATTGTGTGTTTTCCTATCCTGGTGGTGTAGTATGTTGCTCATAGTATCGATCACTGGTCTGTCTTACCAAGACTCGAATACTTCCAGGCCTGCATCGAATAGGTAGAATATTGTGGTGTACATAGTTAAACAACAGACGCTGACATCATGAGACTGGTGTCGATGGGACGAGTGTCTGCCCCAGCCTGTGTCCATTGATGGTCATAAGAGTCACACCCCCATGCTGGCCAGAAGAGGCGACAGAATGGATCAGGTGGTCAGTCTTGGTTGATTTGGGTGTCATCGATCACAATTGGATGGATTGATGATCCTGGGGTCAGTCACTGGAGTGTCTGTTCAAAACTTGATCTTTGTGTTATTGTACCCAGACGGTGTCGATCGTTGCTCACTACATCAATCACTAGTTCATTTCGTCCAGACTCGATTATGTAAAGGCCGACATCTGATAGACGGAGTACTGATGAGGGCAGAGTAACCACCATACCACCACTTGGCCGAGGACAGTTACCTCGTCAGGACCAATTGTGGCTAGGAGATTCATGTGATTAGGGGATTGGGTGGACACAAGGGAGCTATGGATGTGTAGTCTCGCATGCACGCCCACCTGCGACACACCGGGCAACTGTGGCTGATGGAGCATCATGAGCCATGTTTACCCAGCTTTTGTTTGTTTGTTGTTTGTTTGTTGTTTAATGCCACACTCCGCAGTTATCTGACCACCCGATCTGGTGACATGCATGAACCAAGTCAGCGAGTCTGACAACCCAATCCCATTAGTTGTTCAAAGTTGTATCATACCCAACTCACTCACTCACTCACTCACTCACTCACTCACTCACTCACTCACTCACTCACTCACTCACTCACTCACTCACTCACTCACTCACTCACTCACTCACTCACTGTTCCATTCCTGAACCAGATCCTAGATGGAATATGTGACACACCATCAAGTTGTCATGGTTACTTTGCCCTGAATCTGGGATATATACATTTTTATCAGAAATCATGCCGGATATGTTTGAACTTGTTTGAATGAAGTGCCTATCAAGCCAAGTTTTGTTTCGGGAAGTTGTGATGAGGTCAGTCGTGCACAGTTTCCTGTGGTATTCCCTGGATGACAGTTGTTGTATGTATTGTTGTCAGATGATCAGCCTGGGAGATCTCAAACCATGATCACTCTTCCGATGAGATGACATTTCGATGTCGTTGTTTTCTCGATTCCGCTCCGCATCTGCAAGAAGCCTCAACCGCATCAAGTTTCATCCCAAACGCCCCAAAAATGCCAAGTTGCGAAAAGGTTAAATAACTTGACGCATTTGATTTACTGAAGTTTGATGAATTGAACCTTAATTTCCAGGACGTTTTTTGTGTTTTCAGATCTTGTTTCGTATGGAGATATTGAAGATGTTTAAGGGTGCTTCGTATTGTCATTAGGTGTTGGGTTAGCCTCATGGTTCAAGTGTTCACTCACCACACCAAGGGCTCAGGTTCTATTCCAGACACAGGGGAAATGTGTGAAGCCTATTTCTGTGTCCTCTATTGGGATATTACTGGAATATTACTAAAAGTGGCATAAAACCATACTTACTTACTCAATTTAGCCGATGACGAATATCATGATAATGAGCTTGTGGCTATTTGTCCTATATATGACACACTTGAAGTAGGCGATGGTCTTTAGTGAGATAGTTTTGTTGTACGCCTATTTTTGACAGTAGCCATGGTACCGTTTGAAGTTGCGAGTTTCTGAGAAATGCAGGAACTTGGCTGAGATTACTCATATCATGTTTCCATGGAGATTAGTAGCATAGCCCTAGTTATTAAGTTCTTGTCCTTCTCCTCATTCATATAAATTTTATTGAATATTTGTGCAAAATTTTCTTTTAAAATTTGTGTATATAAACTGTATACAAACAAAAAGAGAAATACAATATCCAAACATGATAATGTAACTTTTGTTTTTCATCATGTTCATGGGAAATGCTGAATGCAGGGTAAAACAACATTCACTCACATTCAAACAATGACTCACTACATTTTTATTTGACAGCAGTTGTCATGGAAACCATGTTGTATACTGATGTAGTTATTTTCTGTCTCCAGACTTTCCTCCACAAGACGTATCCCCGGAACCCGAGCCGGTGGTGTCCCAGGACCAGCTGTACGAGTCCATCAGCTCATCCCACCTCTCTGAGGATGGATGGGGGTCCTCCGAGTTCGAGGAATCTGGGGAAGACGAAGTCTTGGAGCAGGCTCCGGCAAAACCTCTACCCCCAGAACCAAAACAGGTAATTGGCCTAAGATCGTTACCAAAACAGGTAACTGGTGTAAGATTGTTACCAAAACAAGTAATTGGGGTAAGATTGTTACCAAGACAAGTAATTGGGGTAAGATCGTTACCATAACAGGTAACTGGTGTAAGATCGTTACCATAATAGGTAACTGGTGTAAGATCGTTACCAAAACAGGTAACTGGTGTAAGATTGTTACCAAAACAGGTAACTGGAATAAGATCGTTACTAAAACAGGTAACTAGTGTAAGATTGTTACCAAAACAGGTAACTGGTGTAAGATTGTTACCAAAACAGGTAACTGGAATAAGATCGTTACTAAAACAGGTAACTAGTGTAAGATTGTTACCAAAACAGGTAATTGGCGTAAGATCTTTACCAAAACAGGTAACTGGTGTAAGATCGTTAACCAAAACAGGTAACTGGTGTAAGATTGTTACGCCAACTGGTCATTGGTATAAGATTTTTATAAAGATTTCCTGCATATTGGTATATATTGGGTGAAGGGGCGCTGATTAGATTGGGGGGGCACTTAAGATTGCAAATACTAAATTAAGTCTTGATTTGGACTTCCCATTCAAAGAGACCCATAGCATCGATTAAAACGAGTCTGAGAGTATAGGATGTTTTTTGGTTTCAGATTCCTAATGTGCAGTCTTGTTTTAATTGTGAACATACTTCTTTTTGTACAGAGTGCCAAAATTATCAACCGGATTCGAAGTTTGGCGAGGAAAAATAATGTTAACATGGATGAGGAGATGCGATGCTTTCCTGTGGACCTCAACCCATCAAAACACCCACCTCCAGAGTTACCTCCCCCTCCTGATGACCTTTCTGAAAGTCAGGTGAGAGTTGCCTCCCCTTTATGAACCTTTAACTGCATTGTGAAACAGTCAGAATCTGTTATTTTGTAAACCAAACAAATTTTTAGAAACGTTTTCCTCAACTCTTGCTTAACTTTTGTATATTGTTGCATTTTAATATACATTTTAAGTTGCTGTACAATTGAAAATGCTAATGCACATGTCCAGCTGGACAATTAGTGGTCTTGTGAACGAACAACAGGAAGACCAGAAGTAACGAAAGTTATCGAGTCCTGAGCATAAGCTTGCTGAATGTATATTTATGTCCGATAATATAGATATGGTTCCCTCTGTAGGAACTTGAACGATGGAATCTTTTAGTAATTCACTTTTATAATGGGGTGTGATTCAGCTTGGTTGAAAATGTTGTGTTCCAGAAAAAAAGGCGATGTGTCGTGGATTTGACTATATCAAGCGAGAAGTCCTACATCAATGCTTTGGAGAGAATAACTGAGGTAGGATGAATTGAAATGAAACTTGAAATTGCTTTCTTTAGTCATGGATTTGAATATATCGAGTGAGTGAGAAGTCCGACATCAGTGCTTTGGAGAATTGAAATAAATCTTGAAATCGCTTTCTTTAGTCTTGGATTTGACAATATCGAGTGAGTGAGAAGTCCTACATCAGTGCTTTGGAGAATTGAAATGAATCTTGTAATAACGTTCTTTGGGTGTGTTTGTTACTTAACACCACACAATGTTCCGGCCTTATAATGGTTGCCTGGAAGTGAATGAGTGTGCCCAGACAAGTCAGTGATTGATATCATGAGCCACATCCCATGCCATCGGGGTATGGTGACAATGATTCAGTCTAACCAAGATCTTCACGGGTCTCTCCTCTTACGACAAGCATAGGTTGCCGGGGACTGATTCTAACCCGGATCTTCACAGGTCGCTCCTCTTACGACAAGCATAGGTTGCTGGAGATCGGTTCTAACCCGGATCTTCACGGGTCTCTCCTCTTACGACAAGCATAGGTTGCTGGGGACCGATTCTAACCCAGATTTTCACGGGTCTCTCCTCTTACGACAAGCATAGTTTGCAGGGGACCGATTCTAACCCGGATCTTCACAGGTCTCTCCTCTTACGACAAGCATAGGTTGCTGGGGACCGATTCTAACCCGGATCTTCACAGGTCTCTCCTCTTACGACAAGCATAGGTTGCTGGAGATCGGTTCTAACCCGGATCTTCACGGGTCTCTCCTCTTACGACAAGCATAGGTTGCTGGGGATCGGTTCTAACCCAGATTTTCACGGGTCTCTCCTCTTACGACAAGCATAGGTTGCAGGGGACCGATTCTAACCCGGATCTTCACAGGTCTCTCCTCTTACGACAAGCATAGGTTGCTGGGGACCGATTCTAACCCGGATCTTCACGGGTCTCTCCTCTTACGACAAGCATAGGTTGCTGGGGACCGGTTCTAACCCGGATCTTCACAGGTCTCTCCTCTTACGACAAGCATAGGTTGCTGGGGACCGATTCTAACCGGGATCTTCACGTGTCTCTCCTCTTACGACAAGCATAGGTTGCTGGGGACCGGTTCTAACCCAGATCTTCACAGGTCTCTCCTCTTACGACAAGCATAGGTTGCTGGGGATCGGTTCTAACCCAGATTTTCACGGGTCTCTCCTCTTACGACAAGCATAGGTTGCAGGGGACCGATTCTAACCCGGATCTTCACAGGTCTCTCCTCTTACGACAAGCATAGGTTGCGGGGACCGATTCTAACCCGGATCTTCACGGGTCTCTCCTCTTACGACAAGCATAGGTTGCTGGGGACCGGTTCTAACCCGGATCTTCACAGGTCTCTCCTCTTACGACAAGCATAGGTTGCTGGGGACCGATTCTAACCGGGATCTTCACGGGTCTCTCCTCTTACGACAAGCATAGGTTGCTGGGGATCGGTTCTAACCCAGATCTTCACGGGTCTCTCGTCTTACGACAAGCATAGGTTGCTGGGGGCCGATTCTAACACGGATCTTCACGTGTCTCTCCTCTTACGACAAGCATAGGTTGCTGGGGACCGATTCTAACCCAGATTTTCATGGGTCTCTCCTCTTACGACAAGCATAGGTTGCTGGGGACCGATTCTAACCCGGATCTTCACAGGTCTCTCCTCTTACGACAAGCATAGGTTGCTGGGGGCCGATTCTAACACGGATCTTCACGTGTCTCTCCTCTTACGACAAGCATAGGTTACTGGGGACCGATTCTAACCCGGATCTTCACGGGTCTCTCCTCTTACGACAAGCATAGGTTACTGGGGACCGATTCTAACCCGGATCTTCACGGGTCTCTCCTCTTACGACAAGCATAGGTTACTGGGGACCGATTCTAACCCGGATCTTCACGGGTCTCTCCTCTTACGACAAGCATAGGTTGCTGGGGGCCGATTCTAACCCAGATCTTCACGGGTCTCTTGTCTTACGACAAGCATAGGTTGCTGGGGGCCGATACTAACACGGATCTTCACGGGTCTCTTGTCTTACGACAAGCATAGGTTACTGGGGACCGATTCTAACCCAGATCTTCACGGGTCTCTTGTCTTACGACAAGCATAGGTTGCTGGGGGCCGATTCTAACCCGGATCTTCACGGGTCTCTCCTCTTACGACAAGCATAGGTTGCTGGGGGCCGATTCTAACCCAGATCTTCACGGGTCTCTTGTCTTACGACAAGCATAGGTTGCTGGGGGCCGATTCTAACACGGATCTTCACGGGTCTCTTGTCTTACGACAAGCATAGGTTACTGGGGACCGATTCTAACCCAGATCTTCACGGGTCTCTTGTCTTACGACAAGCATAGGTTACTGGGGACCGATTCTAACCCAGATCTTCACGGGTCTCTTGTCTTACGACAAGCATAGGTTGCTGGGGGCCGATTCTAACACGGATCTTCACGGGTCTCTCCTCTTACGACAAGCATAGGTTGCTGGGGACCGATTCTAACCCGGAGCTTCACGGGTCTCTCCTCTTACGACAAGCATAGGTTGCTGGGGACCGATTCTAACACGGATCTTCACAGGTCTCTCCTCTTACGACAAGCATAGGTTGCTGGGGACCGATTCTAACCCGGAGCTTCACGGGTCTCTCCTCTTACGACAAGCATAGGTTGCTGGGGACCGATTCTAACACGGATCTTCACGGGTCTCTCCTCTTACGACAAGCATAGGTTGCTGGGGACCGATTCTAACCCGGAGCTTCACGGGTCTCTCCTCTTACGACAAGCATAGGTTGCTGGGGACCGATTCTAACACGGATCTTCACGGGTCTCTCCTCTTACGACAAGCATAGGTTGCTGGGGACCGATTCTAACCCGGAGCTTCACGGGTCTCTCCTCTTACGACAAGCATAGGTTGCTGGGGACCGATTCTAACACGGATCTTCACGGGTCTCTCCTCTTACGACAAGCATAGGTTGCTGGGGACCGATTCTAACACGGATCTTCACGGGTCTCTCGTCTTACGACAAGCATAGGTTGCAGGGGACCGATTCTAACCCGGATCTTCACGGGTCTCTCCTCTTACGACAAGCATAGGTTAGTTGGGACCGATTCTAACCCGGATCTTCACGGGTCTCTCGTCTTACGACAAGCATAGGTTGCAGGGGACCGATTCTAACCCGGATCTTCACGGGTCTCTCCTCTTACGACAAGCATAGGTTGCTGGGGGCCGATTCTAACCCGGATCTTCACGGGTCTCTCGTCTTACGACAAGCATAGGTTGCTGGGGACCGATTCTAACCCAGATCTTCACGGGTCTCTTGTCTTACGACAAGCATAGGTTGCTGGGGGCCGATTCTAACACGGATCTTCACGGGTCTCTCGTCTTACGACAAGCATAGGTTGCTGGGGGCTGATTCTAACCCGGATCTTCACGGGTCTCTCGTCTTACGACAAGCATAGGTTGCTGGGGGCCGATTCTAACCCGGATCTTCACGGGTCTCTCCTCTTACGACAAGCATAGGTTACTGGGGACCGATTCTAACCCGGATCTTCACGGGTCTCTCGTCTTACGACAAGCATAGGTTGCTGGGGACCGATTCTAACACGGATCTTCACGGGTCTCTCCTTATTATTGAGTAATGGAGAAAGAGAGTTAGAGTGAGTAAATACTTCATTACAGGTATCAGCGATTCACACTGAGAAATATGTTCAATGTACTACTGTCGATTATTGCTGGGATGAAAATGTTGTATAACTGACGTAACATAATAGGTACAAGATGAGGTGAAGATAGATGGGTGTAGTCGTAAACTGAAGACTGACATGCTGGAGTCAGGTCGATAACAGCTTCAGCGGGAGAGCTGGTAGAGTTATCTCCCTTTCATGAGTGTCTCGGTGTGTTCTTTGTTCTTTGACTAATGTTATTGATGACTGATAAGCTTAAAACTTTGAGCAGATCATGCAGCAGATTGTGTTAAGGTTGGGGGGGGGGCAGTTCGGGGGGTGAGAATTGTCATGAAAAATGCTTCATGAAAGTGGGGTGCATGTTGCATGGAAAATTGTTACTTACATAACGAGGGTTGTGTCAGCAGAATATGATTGTCGTATCGCCAAAGCCACCCTGGGATAAACAATGTTTTACTACAAATTGAAATAAGGTGAAATAGCTGGAATATTGCTGTTTGCAGCATTAGAAGAATATCACTTCACTGCAAGGCATTAAAATCATCTCGATTCAACAGTTTCAACGATTCTCGATTCGTAAAGCAGACATTTGTTACTTTCTTGAAGGATTACATGAAGGTGGTGATGGAGAACATCGCATCGCCACGAAGTCACGTGAAGATGGTGTTTGCTGAGGCGGAGCAGATCCTGAGCCACCACAAGATGTTCCAGATTGAACTGGCCGACCGGGTCCGGAAGTGGGACCAGGAGGGGAAGATCGGAGACATCTTCACAGCATCGGTAACATCCACAACCTCAACTACATCCACTCTAACATTTCATTCACTTAATTTTGAGTAAATTGAATCCGAAAAATATAAAACGCCTGGCCTGATGCTGGTCTAGGCACTAATGGAGGCTTATTTTCAGCCTAAGCAGTAAATATTTGTTTTATTTCATACCCACTCCCACATCCAGTTCTCCAAGACGATGTTGCTCAACTCCTACAGCGTGTACGTCAACAGCTTCGCCGCAGCGATGGAGGAGATCAAGACAGTGCAGAGGACGAAACAGACCTTCTCCGACTTCCTGAGGGTATGTGACAGAGGTTCGAGTCCGGGGAGCAAATGTGTACTTCATCAGTGTGAATCACGCTCAGGCATCTTGTACGCTATCCACCATGTGTCTGGCCTAAACAGGATCTGAGTCGGTTCCACAAGCTGATTGGTGGACTAAAGAAACCACTGCATTTTGTTTTTTTATATTATTTTATCTACTCTCACAATTTGTCATAATTTGTTGTTTACAAGTTTTTAAGATATATTTTAAACAGGTTGTAATTATGGTATTTTAAATCATTTTTAATATTGAAAGTAAATGAAACAGGAAATGAGTTGTTTTTATCATTTTGCTTATTTCTGGATGGCGGAATAAAAAAAGTACTTTTTCCATTTTTTAAATCTTTTTTCCACAATTTAGTTTTTTGGAGTTGGCAGATTTGGAAACCAAGTTTTATCAAAAGTCTGGCCTGACTTGAGTGAGTGCAGGACTCTGTATTATTCACATGGGGTTTTCAGGCGAAGGAGTCTAGCAGCAGCGACCGGCTGTCCATATTTGGGCTGATGGTGAAGCCAGTGCAGAGATTCCCACAATTCATCATGTTGCTGCAGGTTCGTCATCCAAGTTTTGTATTTTGCTGAGTAGTCTAGTTATGACCTGACTCGTGAAGATCCGGGTAAAATAGGTCTTCAGCAGCCCATGCTTGCCGTAAAAGGCGACTGTGCTCGTCGTAAGAAGCGACTAACGGGATCAGGTGGTCAGACTCGCTGACTTTGTTGATGCATGTCATTGTATCCCAATTGCGTGGATCAATGCTCATGATGTCAATCACTGGAATGTCTAGTCCAAACTTGATTATGTACAGACTGCTGTCATATAGCTGGAATATTGCTGAGTGCAGCATTAACCAACCAACCAACAAACAAACAAACAAAGTTTCAACGTGACTGTAATTTAGGACTTGTCACAGCTATAAGCTGGGAATTGATGGAGATTTTCAATGTTATTTTAATGTTGTCTTGGTGGAGCCCTGGACCTGGACCCCGCGACCTGGACCCCCGCACCTGGACCCCGCTACTGTTATAACATACCACATGTCTTCTCATAAACCTCCTGCCACTTTTGCCATATAGTATTGTAGGTATCTTCCTATCTCATAGTAACCTTGTGAGAGGTACTACTTTCAAGTGAGACCTGCTCAGCAGTTTTACATTTGAATTGTAAGATTTAGGATTGATGGTTGAATTGTATAGACATCCTTTCACGTCACGGCATAGGACCTGTGAAGATCCGAGGTAGAATAGGTTATTGCCAGACCACTGCCATATAGCTGGAATATTGATGAGAGCGGTGTGAACAACAAACAAACTAACTAACAAAAAAACAAACACAGCACAGCATAGAATGTGCATGTGGGAAAAAATGTGATTGTTAACCATTCGAAAATAAACATTAGATGCATATTAAAAAGGATTCTGGACCACTGGGCAGTTTGATTTTTTCATCCAAACCCTGTTTAGTATTGTAAGCCATTGTTATCCCCCTGAGCCACTGGGGCAGGTGATGAAAGGGTGTTCAATCTTACATCTCATGACTTCAGTTGTCTGCATGCTACACATGGTTTTTCTGTCATCGAATTCATTTTATACCACAACACACTGTAATTTTTACTGTAAGGTATCCATTTGTTGTTAGAGGCAACTAACAGGATGGGTGGTCAGGCTTGCGTTTTACGCTTCCATGGCAACAATTTTGACTTCTATATGAGTGGTGTTCATTTCCGGAGCAAAACTCAAAATCTGTTAAATACTTTCTTACAAAACTTTGCATGTCAACTGGGCACATACTGAACAGGTGCCTTTTGCTATTTAGGAATTTTAGAAAAAAAATTTTTTTACGTTTCCATGGCAACATGTTGGATTTAGGTTATATATGGGTGGTGTTTGTTTCCGAGCTTAACTCAAAAACTGTTAAATAGTTTCTAACAAAACTCTGCATGTTTACCAGGCACATACTGAACAGGTGCCTTTTGCTATTTAGGAATTTTAGAACTTTTTATTTTTTATGTTTCCATGGCAACAAGTTGCACTTAGGTTCTATAGGATAGAGTTTGTTTCCAGAGCATAACTCAAAACCCATTCAATACTTTCTAACAAAACTTTGCATGTTTACCAGACACATACTGAACTGGTGCCTTTTGCTATTTAGGAATTTTATAAATTTTCATTTTTTATGTTTCCATGGCAATAAGTTGGATTTAAGTTTTAATATAGGGTGGGTTCACTTATGGAGTATAACAAATATACTGTTGAATATTTCCTTGCCAAACATTGCATGTCTATATGTAAAGCACATACTGAAATGGTGCCATTTGATATTAAGGAGTTGTAGAAATGTTTATTTTAGAATTTCCATTGCAGCTATTTTGACATGGGCTAAGAGAAATGTTGGGTCAGTTACCTGGTTTGGGACCATAACATGTTGAAATAGGTGAAGGAATATAGATGACTTTGTTGACTATGTGCTTGTTTGTTGTTTAACGCCGCACTCAGGAATATTCCAGCTCTATGACGGGGGTCTGTAAATAATCAAGTATAGACCAGACAATCCAGTGATTGACATCATATCCATATTTGAGAATGAGGCCCCCGTGTGGAGTGTAAAAGATGACAAAAGGATTAGGTGGTCAGACTCCGTGACATGCTTGATTGCATGTAATCGCATCCCGATAGCACGGATACAATGGCGACTATGCTTGTCGTAAGAGGCGACTAACAGGATCGTGTGGTCAAACTTTCTGACTTGGTTGATGCATGTCATCATATCCCCAATGCGTAGATCGATGCTCATGAAGTCAATCACTGGTCGTGACTTGATTACGTACAGGCTACTCATTTCCTGTATCAAATAGATATTTTTAAAAACTGATCTTAGATCTGGTCATTCTGTTCCAATTGCATGGATCAATGCTCGTGATATCAATCACTGGATTATCTGGTCCAGACTCGATTATTTACTGAAACATCTGTTTCCAGGATTTACTGAAATATCTGTTTGCAGGATTTACTGAAATATCTGTTTCCAGGATTTACTGAAGTATCTGTTTCCTAGGATTTACTGAAACATCTGTTTCCAGGATTTACTGAAACATCTGTTTCCAGGATTTACTGAAGTATCTGTTTCCTAGGATATACTGAAACATGTTTCCAGGATTTACTGAAGTATCTGTTTCCAGGATTACTGAAATATGTTTCCAGGATATACTGAAATATCTGTTTGCAGGATTTACTGAAGTATCTGTTTCCTAGGATATACTGAAACATGTTTCCAGGATTTACTGAAGTATCTGTTTCCAGGATTACTGAAATATGTTTCCAGGATTTACTGAAATATCTGTTTGCAGGATTTACTGAAGGATCTGTTTCTAGGATTTACTGAAGTATCTGTTTCCTAGGATTTACTGAAACATCTGTTTCCAGGATTTACTGAAGTATCTGTTTGCAGGATTTACTGAAATATCTGTTTCCAGGATTTACTGAAACATCTGTTTCCAGGATTTACTGAAATATCTGTTTGCAGGATTTACTGAAGGATCTGTTTCTAGGATTTACTGAAGTATCTGTTTCCTAGGATTTACTGAAACATCTGTTTCCAGGATTTACTGAAGTATCTGTTTCCAGGATTTACTGAAACATCTGTTTCCAGGATTTACTGAAGTATCTGTTTCCAGGATTACTGAAACATCTGTTTCCAGGATTACTGAAATATGTTTCCAGGATATACTGAAATATCTGTTTGCAGGTTTTACTGAAATATCTGTTTCCAGGATTTACTGAAATACACGCCACAAACCCACCACGACCGAGGGGCTCTGCAGCTGGCCCTGACAGAACTCGAGAACGTCACGCACAAACTGAACGAGCGAAAACGTCACAGCGAACAGCAGTTTGCAGCCCGGCAGATCACCAGTCAGTTGTCACGGCAACTTGTGATGAAGGTGACAGAGAGTCCGCGAAGACTACTGCGACAGGATGACATGGAGCAAGTGGTAACTGAATGCAGTTTATTTGCCTGCTATCTGTTGTATCACAGGGTGTCAGCTTGGTGTGGGAGGAAAGATGCAAGTCTTAGACACTTACCACTGGTGTCACCCAGGCACAGGTATGGTGCTGACAAACCTGGAAAAATAACCAAGGGATTCGAACCCAGGTTTTGGCATGCCAAGAGATGAATCTCTGCACAATAAGTTATGTTGCCGCTGTGCCTGGTCCGCCTGTGCCTGGTCCGCCTGTGCCTGGTCAGCCTGTGCCTGGTCCGCCTGTGCCTGGTCCGCCTGTGCCTGGTCCGCCTGTGCCTGGTCCCCCTGTGCCTGGTCCGCCTGTGCCTGGTCCGCCTGTGCCTGGTCTGCCTGTGCCTGGTCCCCCTGTGCCTGGTCCGCCTGTGCCTGGTCCCCCTGTGCCTGGTCCCCCTGTGCCTGGTCCGCCTGTGCCTGGTCCGCCTGTGCCTGGTCCGCCTGTGCCTGGTCCGCCTGTGCCCGGTCCGCCTGTGCCCGGTCCGCCTGTGCCTGGTCCCCCTGTGCCTGGTCCGCCCGTGCCACTCAGAGACAGACAGAAACTCAGTGATCGCAAACCTACTTTGTGAATCATCATATAGCTCACCTGGTCACAGAAAGCCAGACCAGTAAAGCAAGAGATTATAAGGTACTGACACTACATGACAATAGAAGGTTGTGACAGGAAGGTGTTCACTGTAGCTAACCAACAAATCGACAAGCATTTACTATTGTTAAGCTGTTATGAAACATATTTTCTGTTTTAAGGTTGGGGAAACAGCCTCCATGAAGTCCAAGAAGGTCCGAGTGTTCCTGATGAATGATACTGTCCTGTTCGTCAAGGTTGGATTTAAGTAAGTCAGTGTCGCAGCGAGTGTAGCTCTGTGCAGATTATGACTGGGTCTCCCTACTCACTGGCGGATCCAGATGGAGTGAATAGAATGGGTGACCTGGCTGTTTGTGGGTCTACCCTACTCACTGGTGGATCCAGATGGAGTGAATAGAATTGGTGACCTGGCTGTTTGTTGGTCTACCCTACTCACTGGTGGATCCAGATGGAGTGAATAGAATGGGTGACCTGGCTGTTTGTGGGTCTACCCTACTCACTGGCGGATCCAGATGGAGTGAATAGAATGGGTGACCTGGCTATTTGTGGGTCTACCCTACTCACTGGTGGATCCAGATGGAGTGAATAGAATGGGTGACCTGGCTGTTTGTGGGTCTAACCTACTCACTGATGGATCCAGATGGAGTGAATAGAATGGGTGACCTGGCTGTTTGTGGGTCTACCCTACTCACTGATGGATCCAGATGGAGTGAATAGAATGGGTGACCTGGCTGTTTGTGGGTCTGCCCTACTCACTGGCGGATCCAGATGGAGTGAATAGAATGGGTGACCTGGCTGTTTGTGGGTCTACCCTACTCACTGATGGATCCAGATGGAGTGAATAGAATGGGTGACCTGGCTTATGGGTGGGGAATGTTTGCCTAGTCAAGAACACAACACTCACTCACTCACTCACTCACTCACTCACTCACTCACTCACTCACTCACTCACTCACTCACTCACTCACTCACTCACTCACTCACTCTCACTCACTCACTCACTCACTCACTCACTCACTCACTCATTCATTGCTTCTTCCATTACTCTGCCCTTCCAGAGATCAAGGTGGCTACCCCACTGAGCGATATCGGCTTAAGTGGATGGCCAACATCCGAGACGTGGAGGTGAAGGATTCTGCCATTACCCCGGACATGGAGAGTGTGGTGAAAGGGGGCCCAGGGAAGATGAGCATCTACTCCACACAGATAGGTAGGCAGGAACACTGTCAGCGTTATACAATGTTATACCATGTCACGTGTTGCAAGGGAGATAACTCATCATCTACACCACACAGATAGGTAGGCGGGAACACTGTCACCGATATACAATGTTATACCCCCACACAGATAGGTAGGCAGGAACACTGTCATCGATATACAATGTTATACCCCCACACAAATAGGTAGGCAGGAACACTGTCAGCGATATACAATGTTATACCCCCACACAGATAGGTAGGCAGGAACACTGTCAGCGATATACAATGTTATACCCCCACACAGATAGGTAGGCAGGAACACTGTCAGCGATATACAATGTTATACCCCCACACAGATAGGTAGGCGGGAACACTGTCAGCGATATACAATGTTATACCCCCACACAGATAGGTAGGCAGGAACACTGTCAGCGATATACAATGTTATACCCCCACACAGATAGGTAGGCAGGAACACTGTCAGCGATATACCATGTTATACTCCCACACAGATAGGTAGGCAGGAACACTGTCAGCGATATACAATGTTATACCCCCACACAGATAGGTAGGCAGGAACACTGTCAGCGATATACAATGTTATACCCCCACACAGATAGGTAGGCAGGAACACTGTCAGCGATATACAATGTTATACTTCTACACAGATAGGTAGGCGGTAACACTGTCAGCGATATACCATGTTATACCCCCACACAGATAGGTAGGCGGGAACACTGTCAGCGATAAACCATGTTATACCCCCACACAGATAGGTAGGCAGGAACACTGTCAGCGATATACCATGTTATACCCCCACACAGATAGGTAGGCGGGAACACTGTCAGCGATATACCATGTTATACCCCCACACAGATAGGTAGGCAGGAACACTGTCAACGATATACAATGTTATACCATGTCACAGGGGCGGTCGGTAGCCTGGTGGTTAAAGCGTTCGCTCGTCACGCCGAAGACCCGGGTTCGATTCCCGACATGGGTACAATGTGTGAAGCCCATTTCTGGTGTCCCCCGCCGTGATATTGCTGTAATATTGCTAAAAGCAGCGTAAAACCATATTCACTCACTATACCATGTCACATATGATGCAAGGGAGTTAACTCTAACCCTGTTGGGATTCCAGGGAAGCTTCTTTTTATGACCGTGATGTATAAAGTTGAAAATATAATCTGGACAGCATGTGAGCAACATCCAAATCAAGCAGTTGAAAGTACAGCAGTTTTCCGGGTAAAAACATGGATGTCAGTATATATTTGTGTGTTGATGTTACAGATAAGCCTGAGGAAGACCCCTTCCACCTGTTCGCGGATCTAAACGAGATGCTGCACGACTTCCCCGTCTTGACCCAAATCAGTGCCCTGGTTTCCACACTCAAACGTAGCTACATGGTGCGTCCCATGCATGACTGAGAGAGTGACAGAATGACAAACTCATTGATAAATGAGTGAGAGAGTGACTGAAAAGTTAATCCTGCATGATGCCTGACATCAACTAATGACACATCTGCATTTATTGTCTCAAAGTGAGATTGACCAATCAGAGACTGACATGAGCACATGAGCCCGTATAACGTCATTAGAAATCCAAGATGGTTGTTACTGACCTAAAATGAGACGTATACCGTCAGTAACAGCCATATTGGATTTTCCAACACCCACCCCACATATTTCACATGAAAATTCTGGAACAGAAATTCATTATTCGACACTGTTTTGTGTTTTAATATCATTAATTTTGATGAAGAACATTAATATTTCTTTTTATGTCATTCGTGACTTTATTGGTAAAGATTATAGTTAAACTTATAAACAAGGTTTGTCCTCTAAGGTTTGAAGAGTAATCTCCCTTTGACCCTTAGTGTCAATGTTTAAAAGTGTCAAGTTTTTATTTTAACATGACATGTGCAATATGGATACTTTTTGGCATAATAAATGTGTTATGGTGTCTAGTTGCCATATAGGTTAGCAGAAAAATATTGGGCAAGGAGTCAGCTGAGCTCAATATTTATCTGCTAATCAAATACGACACCGTATACAGCAACTTAAGACACCATAGCTCATAGAGCAGCACGTGCAGGGTTATGAGGTCCCCCTGTTATATTCCTTGGTCGGCATTTTGTCTGTGCTCGGATGTATACATCTTTCATCAGATGTAAGTCGTGATATAACTGAAATACAGTTCAAATCCGCATCACATCCTATTGACACTTGGACAACAAGTCAGACCTGTCAACCCCTCATTATGATAATGCGGGAGATTTGACTTCAAAATGGGGGAGACTTTTAAAATAGTGAAGATAATATAATTTCCACCTTTTATTTTTATTAATGTTATTAAGAAAACCAAATATTTTAAAACAATAAATAATTATAACTTCTTATATGTACAGCTTGCTTAAGTTCCGTTTGCATTTTCCACCTCCAAGAATAATCCTAGCACAATCTAACCATATCACTTTCATGCAAAGATCATCTCAGATAAACGTAAACAGATATTGAAATTTAATGATCGGTAGCTTGACCAGTTGACGACGTGTTCAATCCGACCAGTTGTCAGGCTTCGTTATGATGCAGGTTTTCTGAGTATTTGGCGCGAGTTTGGTTACAAAATATGCCAAAGAAATATCAAATGCATTTATCCTGACGCAACATGATCGCCCCTAATTTCAATAAGATATATTGTATTCTGTTGACAGTCCCATTACTTCGCTAGAAATGTTCACGTTATTCCATTCAAAGAAACATATGCCATATTTGGAAGTACTATTATGTTTTATTACAATTTATGAATGAAATGAGTCTCGTTGTCGTTGTTGACCTTTCTGACCTTGACGTGTATTAATCTCATTGGTTGACTTGTACTGTTGTATGCAAATTAGATTGCAGATTTGGGACGCTAGCAAACTATTAGCCAATCAAATCGTGTAAAATAATCACAGGATACATTCTCGTGAAATTTGATAAAGTTCTATGTGTTGATATTTCTGTGCACACAAGTCACGATGTCAGTCAAAAGGGAATTTATAAGTCTCACTTTAAACTTTGACTTTGAAACCCTATCTATGTGGAAGCCCGATCGTGTAACGCATTTATTTCGACTACCGAATCAACCAATCACGCATAGTGTTGTTTCTGAAGACGGCTCTTGCAGGTTATATTTTGTTTTCATTTCCGAGAGTTTAGTGACGTAACTTTGAGGTATGTTGATGTTTTGACAGAGTTTCTCACAAATTTGATAACCAATTAAGTCATGTATGACTGGACTGGCCGTATGTATCTACGTTTATAAATTATGGAGGAAAAAACACACTAAGAACATGAAGACAACAGTTCATTTCAGGAAGTGATGAATACTCGGCTGATTATGCATTTAAAGTTCAACCCTTCAGGCACCTGTTAGGACTCTCCGAGTTTTCTTTACAGTTTACATTGTTAAATCATTCACCATGTGAATTCAATTAGCAGTTTATTCCTAGACAAGAGCCCATCTGGTTCCACCCTGCGGGTGGCCGTGATAGCAGTCACTAATCTGTGAGCCTACCAGACAGATTGGGACGTAAACTTCCCGTTCTTTGTTTTTACTCACGGGACAATGGAGATGAATTTTTAAAATAATGAAGAATTCTGTTTTGCGGGAGAATAGTCCATGTGGGAGACTGGGAGATTTCATCAAAATGCAGGAGGGTTGACAGGTCTGCAACAAGTGCTTCTGTTTCTGGTGATTAAAGGGTTTGTTATCATTCTGAAGATCGGAAGATCACTCAACATAGGTAGAACATGTGAAGACCAATCTTGATGGCCCTTATGTAACTCGAAGATCATGCTCAAAGTGGTGTAAAACCAACTCACTCACTCACTCACTCACTCACTCACTCACTCACTCACTCACTCACTCACTCACTCACTCACTCACTCACTCACTCACTCACTCACTCACTCACTCACTCACTCTGTCCCCAGGGCCTGACGGAGGAGCTGACACAGGAACTCAGACGAGACCTGCAGAGACTCATCCACATCAAAGATGAACAGCTGCGATTGGTCAATAGTTGCTCTATCATCCTCTCTGACTACACCAAGTAAGGGGAGATCACTCTCAACTGTTTACATGCACTAGTGCCATGTTTTAGTGCTTATAGCAAGTCTTGGTTCTCAGGCACCACCCTCATTATCATAAAGTCTGCCGCACGTTTCGTTTTTGTTTCCATTTTTAAAAAAAAAATCCTTCTTACCGTATATCGCCGTCTATAAAGCGACCCCATGTATAAGGCGACCTGTGCAAGCCTTCAAAATCAATGCTAATCTATATACCCCGTCTATAAGGCAAATTGGATTAAGCACAGCACCAGCACAAACACAATCTCTACATTTGCAATAAAAACGTGTTTGTCTTCCACAGAAAAAAATGACATCGTATCCTTTCAGCGAAACGAACAGATCATAACAATTAAACTTGATCAATACAAATTTAAAATTTAGAAAAAAACATCACTAGACATGATGATTTACTGATTAAATTGTATTTTCTGTTCTACTGGGCAATGTTTTTATATGCAGAGATTAAGATGACCACGTGTAATGTCTTGTAAACTAAGCGGGAAGCAGCCATCAGCTGTACACACATTTTCTCCGAATCTACCAGTGATATGGTTAAAAAGTAACCAATAATATAAATTTAAAGAATTTTGATACAAATGATCGGAAGAATTGTATCTGAAAGTATTATTTTATCTGGAATAATTTATTCCAATATCATGATATTTTATTTTCAGTTTTACTATAAATATTTGAAATAAATTAATAACCATGAGCGTAGCACTTTGGTTCAGATGAGCGCAGTTGCTGGGTATTTTTTCATATGGAACAATTTGTCCAATCACCGTCGATGCTCACGCACACGCGATAGCGAAAACTTAATGTTGACATATAATAGTCAAACTACAACAAATATGGCTTTCAGCAAGTCAATGTATGGCATTTATGATATATATATATATCCATTCTCTATCCACTAAAGTTTGTTTCAAGGTGTCAATAGCGATAATTTGACCGTGGTTGCTGTAAATAACGGTGAGTTGCGCGATCAACCGATCACTTCACACACGATTTCACGGAAATGAATGTAAACAAAAAACATTGAATGGAATATTGAATAAAATCAATTAAAATAGATTGCAAACATAAGTCCAGATATATAATGAACTCTTTTTATTACCATACAGTGTAATTACATGATTAGTTTGCGTACTTCAGTATGGATTTGTTGACATGGTATTTCCAGTGTTACATGCTCATAGTACTGTCTTTGTGTTGGGGGGAAAAACATCAAAACTCTTCAACCCTGTGTATAAGACCACCCCCCTTGACAGCCCCCTAATTCTAGGTATGAAACAGTCGCCTTATACACAGCGATATATGGTACTTAAAAACACTGCGATCCAATATAGCACACAGTTACTTCCCTTTACATGCACACTGCTTTGCTGCACATCTCATGTTATGGTCATGGCGGCAATAGGAGTTTGTATGCTTGTTTATGTAGGGAGGCTTTTTCCCAGGTTGATGGTACACAACTGTTTATTTGGTTACATACTAGTTTGAACCAGAAAAAACAAAACAAATGCCCACACTATATTTTCAAATAGCAATTCTTTTATTTTTTAAGCCTAAGTAATGACTATTGAACATTGAAGTAATATAACAACCCTATAAATGGTGGATGTTAAATATTGAAGTATTATTACAACCTATGGGTGGTGACTGTTGAATATTGAAGAACTATTACACCCTATGGGTGGTGAATGTTGAATATTGAAGTATTAATTCACCCTATGGGTGGGGAATGTTGAATATTGAAGTATTATTACACCCTATAGGTGGTGAATGTTGAATATTGAAGTATTATTACACCCTATAGGTGATGAATGTTGAATATTGAAGTATTATTACACCCTATAGGTAATGAATGTTGAATATTGAAGTATTATTACACCCTATAGGTGGTGAATGTTGAATATTGAAGTATTAATACACCCTATAGGTGGTGAATGTTGAATATTGAAGTATTATTACACCCTATAGGTGATGAATGTTGAATATTGAAGTTATTCCAATGTGAATATTTCCAGAAATGAGAAGATACGGTACGTTCTTCAGACCCCAACAGCGTCGATCAAACATGAGTGGTGCATGGACTTCCTAATTGCTAAACTAGCAACAGGTACGGGTTTCAAACTGCATTCAGTGTATATCTGATGGCTGAACTAGCAACAGGTACGGGTTTCAAACTGCATTCAGTGTATCTCCTATAGCTAAACTAGCAACAGGTACGGGTTTCAAACTGTATTGAGTGTATATCTGATAGCTAAACTAGCAACAGGTATGGGTTTCAAACTGCATTCAGTGTATATCTGATGGCTGAACTAGCAACAGGTATGGGTTTCAAACTGCATTCAGTGTATATCTGATGGCTGAACTAGCAACAGGTATGGGTTTCAAACTGCATTCAGTGTATCTCTGATGGCTGAACTAGCAACAGGTATGGGTTTCAAACTGCATTCAGTGTATCTCTGATGGCTGAACTAGCAACAGGTACGGGTTTCAAACTGCATTCAGTGTATCTCTGATGGCTGAACTAGCAACAGGTACGGGTTTCAAACTGCATTCAGTGTATCTCTGATGGCTGAACTAGCAACAGGTATGGGTTTCAAACTGCATTCAGTGTATATCTGAGAGCTAAACTAGCAACAGGTACGGGTTTCAAACTGCATTCAGTGTATATCTGAGAGCTAAACTAGCAACAGGTACGGGTTTCAAACTGCATTCAGTGTATATCTGAGAGCTAAACTAGCAACAGGTATGGGTTTCAAACTGCATTCAGTGTATATCTGAGAGCTAAACTAGCAACAGGTACGGGTTTCAAACTGCATTCAGTGTATCTCTGATAGCTAAACTAGCAACAGGTACGGGTTTCAAACTGCATTCAGTGTATATCTGATGGCTAAACTAGCAACAGGTATGGGTTTCAAACTGCATTCAGTGTATCTCCTATAGCTAAACTAGCAACAGGTATGGGTTTCAAACTGCATTCAGTGTACATCTGATAGCTAAACTAGCAACAGGTACGGGTTTCAAACTGCATTCAGTGTATCTCTGATGGCTGAACTAGCAACAGGTACGGGTTTCAAACTGCATTCAGTGTATATCTGATGGCTGAACTAGCAACAGGTACGGGTTTCAAACTGCATTCAGTGTACATCTGATGGCTGAACTAGCAACAGGTACGGGTTTCAAACTGCATTCAGTGTATATCTGATGGCTGAACTAGCAACAGGTACGGGTTTCAAACTGCATTCAGTGTATATCTGATAGCTAAACTAGCAACAGGTACGGGTTTCAAACTGCATTCAGTGTATCTCTGATGGCTGAACTAGCAACAGGTACGGGTTTCAAACTGCATTCAGTGTATATCTGAGAGCTAAACTAGCAACAGGTACGGGTTTCAAACTGCATTCAGTGTATCTCTGATAGCTAAACTAGCAACAGGTACGGGTTTCAAACTGCATTCAGTGTATATCTGATGGCTGAACTAGCAACAGGTACGGGTTTCAAACTGCATTCAGTGTATACCTGATAGCTAAACTAGCAACAGAAAAACTCTCCCTCTGTAATGTTTTGTGTCACAGTCAGTACCTCTGTGTAACGCAGATAAGCAGAACAACCCGGGCTGGGGGGACATGGGTAACGAGGAGGACGAGGATCTTCCGCCAGCCTTCTTCATGCGCTGCCTCCCAGTCGACGTCCCCCGCAACTACACCAAGGTTGGTTCTCTGTTGCTGAATCTTGTCTACTACCTGGCAGTATCACTGGACTCGGTCACTGACAGTGTTGACTGGTCCTCCCACTCTCCATCACCTGATTAAATAGACAGACACAGGTTCTTCATATACACTTGTATTCAACATCCATCTGCCAACACAACACACCTCCTGCACTCACACAGGTTGTCACTCAACACCTGCCTAGAGCAAACCAAGATGGCCGCCGTAAAGTCATTCCCCAATCATAGGGGGCAGTTTCGTATTCGAGGGGAAGTTTCGTATCCACACATTAACATCACCGACTAGCATCCTTGAAATGCCATTACACGCAGGGCCCACCACCGTGGTCCAGTGGGACGTCTGACCGAAGAGGGGAGTTCCCCTGACTGCAATACCAAAAGATGTTAACGATGGTACTTGTTACCCTGTCTGATGCTCGGCATTAAGGTTCTAAAACAAGGACTAGTCAGCTCAGAGTCAGTATATCCGTGTTAACTACACCATGGTACCTCAGGGGGCTAGCACTATAAAACCTGGGATACATCGGGACTAATCCAAGCAGCCACACACACACACACATGCATGTATGTAGAAGTTAGAAGCCATTTCACCTGTCGACCCGTGAAGATTCCGAGGCAGAAAAGGTCTTCAGCAACCCATGCTTGCAATATATCGCTGAGTGCTGCTTTAAACAAACAAACCAAACTAAACCAAATCTTCTGTATTGGGCAGTGGGGTGGCCTAGTGGTTAAAGCATTCACCCATCACCCCAAGGCCCAGGTTTGATCCTCCACATGGGTACAATGTGTGAAGCTCTTTTCATGTTAAACCCATACTCATTCACTCACTCATTCAGTATCATCACTACCAAATTTTGGACCCATCAAGATCGGGGTTAGAATTGGTCTTCAGCAACACTTACTTGCTGTAAAAGGCGACTATGCTTGTCGTAAGAGGTGACTTAACGGGATTGGATGGTCAGGCGCGCTGACTTGGTAGATGCATGTCATCGTATCCCAATTGCGTGGATTGATGCTCATGATGTCAATCACTGGAGTGTCTGGTCCAGATTTGATTATTTACAGACTGCCGTCGTATAGCTGGAATATTGCTGAGTGCGGCGTTAAACAACAAACAAACAAACATTTCACCTCGCTGCCCCCAGTACACAGTATTTATGATTAGCACAGTAGAAAGAGGTTTGATGCCCTTCAGTTTGAGGCTTGTGTGGTGTCTGAGTCTCTATTGTCCTCCATGGTGAGGTGAAATTGGGTTTAGCGTCGCATCCATGATTATTACACTTATATAGCTATGTGCATGCATGTGTGTGTGCCCTTAATGCTGAGCGCCAGACAGGGAAACAACAGGTACCATCTTTTAACGTTTTTTGGTATGATGTGGCTGGGGATCGAACCTCGGACCTTCTGCTCTCCAGGCGGACGCTCTACCACTAGGCCACGGAGGCAGTCCTCCATGGGGATTCAAAGGCAAGGTTGACTGCTTGGACACCGGCTTGATTCAACAGCCACCTATCATTGGGTAGAATGTTTGAGGGGCGGTGGGGTAGCCTCGTTGTTAAAGCATTTACTCGTCCATCTTCCCGAGGCAAGGGAGCTAACTAACTACAAAAGTCCAGTTTCCATCTTATTACGATTCTCGTGAGGATTTCTGGTAGAATTGATCCCAGTGCCCAACATCGAGTGTCAGGCTTGCTGACTTTCTTTGGTTCCATATCATTGTACCCAAGACAGCTTAGGGCGTTGTTCGTTACGTAAATCGCTGGTTTGTCTGGTCCAAATTCAGCCTTGTTCCTGTTGCAGATGATGTGCGCCATCCCGGTGTTCATGACGTCCAGTTCCGGCACCCGGCTCGGCATCCAGCACCTGTGGGTGGTTACCACGACTGCCACCAGAGGGCAGGTCTCCATCATCTCCATACACAACTCCAAGCCTAGCCTCACCGAGAGCTTCAAGGCGGCAGACGTCGAGGTGACCTGCACGGAGCACATCCCAGGATATGCTAAAGATGTGAAGGAATATGCATATGAAGAGGATTGTGTCTGGCTGGGAACTATTGACAATGAGTAGGGAAAAGAATATATTTAACAACTTCAGGGCATATATTTATGATATTTTCCTTTGAGACAGCATAAGATTGAGGCTTTTTACACACATTATTCCCCATATCTTACAGCAGAGGTGAAAAAATCTCATGTTATTTTCACCTAGTCGTTCACAAAAGAATTGTCAAAATTCATTTTATTTTATTTTTCTAATTTCATGTTTCTTTTGTCGGTCGGTCTCATAAGCAACTAGATTTAAATATAAAGCTGTATGTGATGTAATCAGTTTGTGATATAAACAATTGACGATGTCATATGTGTTGTTCTCAACAATGAAGCATGTCACTTCAACTGACCAATCAGTATTCAGTATAGCTCAAAGCACACAAGTACAGTCGTTCAACCCTTCAGGGTTATATTACGTTTGTGAATGAAGCTATGGGGGATATTTGTCATTGATTTATTCAAGTTTGAGATTGTTAATTTGACTTTCGTTTTGCAGGATTCTCATCTTCCCGCTGACCAGTTCGGACGGGATGCGACGTGAAGCCGTGGCAAAGTTCACCTTGCCAGCAGCGCCAGTGTCCATGAAGTACGTGGACGAGCGGATCTTCTGCGGACTGGTCAATGGGTCCGTGGCAGTCTTCTCCAGGGATAAGGGTAAGAGATTATTTCACATGAAAATTGTACAGATGTCAACCATTATCATTGTCATTGTAGCTAATGTTTATGTTGCAGACATGGGTCAATAGCAGCCCCATCACACAGGACTGCTTTAGCGTTTTGTTAGAACTTTAAAGCCACCGCTGCCGGTGATTTGTCTAATGTCTACTACACAAAGATAATTGAAATCAGAGATTATTGGACTTCTTCCAACTGGCACTGGGGAATTCTTTTCGCAAATGTCATGAAAAGGCCAAAGGTCAAGGTCCTGTGATTGAAAAAAATCACAAACAAGTTTGTGGTTGCATTTTCTCAAAAAGTGTTCATGCTTGTCTCATGTGCACTTGGTAGTCCCTTCTTTAGGGTGTCATGATACAATGTCACGTTTAGGATACATTTGATGTATAGAGGATCAAAACATGAGTGAAACATGTGAGTGAAACAGGCTTGAAGAAACCACATTGAATTAAAACATGTAATGAAACAATATTAAAAAGCCAGATATTCAGATTAGCATACATTTAACATCCTAAACTGGCTCCCACAGGAGATATCGCTTGGGTGAGATCAAGCGATATCTATACTGTAGATATCGCTGCAATGAAATTGCATCACAATGCTTTGCAGACCATTGTGATGTCATTGGTTACCATGACGTCACAATCAAATGACATCACTAATGGCTCTGCTACTGAAACTGTTATCAGTACTCTTTACACTTAAGACACTGCTTATTACAGTCTACAAACTGAAAAAGTTAGAAGAATAATGTTGGATGATAAATAAAATCTCACCCTCGTGTCTTTTGATATCAAATATATCGACACTTGTTGATATATTTGATATCAAAAGACATTCGGGTGAGATTCTCTATTCATTTTGAAACCTGAATGTGTGAAACAGATCTTATCATTTAACTAAAGCATTTATCCATGACATAAGCTTATGACATAAAAACATGTATGTCATACCCCAATGACATAAGTATGCAAATTAGATATGCAAATTAGATAACCGGAAGTGGGACTTTTTTCGATGTTTTTTTATGTTAATGTTTAATGCAATTAGGCTCCTATTCCTTAATTGGGAAGCAAAAATGTGAAAATGATTAATAGAATTCATCACTCGTGTTTTTTAATATGGGAAATATCAACCTCGTCCCGTTAATTGGTATTTGCCTCGCCAAAGGCTCGGTGAAACCCACAAGCAGACCAAGGATCATGACAAGGACAAATAAAGATTCAAACCTGTTATCAGCAGATCCTGGAAACACCAAGGGAGGCCACTTTGTGAAGGAGTCATTTTGCCCCTTTTAGGATATACAACCACTATCAGTTAATATTTTACATACTGAAATGAGTGAGTTAGTGATTAGCTTAAAGATTTATCATGACCCTTTGATACAAGAGGTAGCACAGTGGGTGCAGTATTGACTTGTACGGCCAAAAACCAGGGTTTTATTCCCATTATTACAATTTGTGAAGTTTGTTCTTGGTGTCCCCCACCTTCTGCAGTAGGCTAAAGGCGGTGTTGCTTTGTGTTTCAGATGGCGCTTGGAACGTGAATTCCCCTCACTCCTTAAATCTGTCCAACACCATCATCTCCTGCATGAAGGTCATTGACGATGACCTCTGGGTTGCCTTGACAACCAAGATCCTTGTCCTGGAAATTGACAGCTTGAAAGAAAGGGTAAGTTTACTTTTATGATGTTGAGAATAGAGACAAATATTGGGGTCATTGAAACTATCGCAATAGCATTGTGATTGTTAAGACACAGTTGCAATAGTATTACAGTTGGTATACCACTATTATGCAATAGTGATTGCAAGGACACTGTTGCAATACTATTTGTTTATAATAATAATAATTTGGGGGAAATCATGTTGTTCTTAAGTATTGTAGGATTAAACTGCCGGCCTCGTGTGTTCGAGACACAGAATATTTAAAGATTATTTCGGGGTGTGGGAATGGAAATAAAAAAGAAACACGTGGCAGACTTTTTATGGCAGTGCCTGATAACCAAGACTATCATTTTTTTTAGCCTAAGAACATATGTTTGACTTCCTGACTGATATATATCTAGACAACACACGATCTGTCCTCTGAGTCCGAGGAACTGATCATCCACGAGTTCACCACATCTGGCGTGGGGATCTGGGTGTCGTTCAAGGACTCGGCCAAGCTACGTCTGTACCACACTGAGACCCTAGAGAACCTCCAGGAAATCAACATAGCGTCTGCCGTCAACAGACTGCTGGAAGGTAGGCTAGTCATTCTTGTTCCCTGAAAATCTTTAAATGTCCGGTATCATAAAGACTTCTGCAAAACAGGGCTGTCCTTCATTGCCTGCCCTACTATAGAACAACTGGTGTATGTATGGTCTCAACAGTTAGTCAAACATTACTTCATTGCCTGCCCTACTATAGAACAACTGGTGTATGGTCTCAACAGTTAGTCAAACATTACTTCATTGCCTGCCCTACTATAGAACAACTGGTGTATGGTCTCAACAGTTAGTCAAACATTACTTCATTGCCTGCCCTACTGTAGAACAACTGGTGTATGGTCTCAACAGTTAGTCAAACATTACTTCATTGCCTGCCCTACTGTAGAACAAATGGTGTATGGTCTCAACAGTTAGTCAAACATTACTTCATTGCCTGCCCTACTGTAGAACAACTGGTGTATGGTCTCAACAGTTAGTCAAACATTACTTCATTGCCTGCCCTACTGTAGAACAACTGGTGTATGGTCTCAACAGTTAGTCAAACATTACTTCATTGCCTGCCCTACTGTAGAACAACTGGTGTATGGTCTCAACAGTTAGTCAAACATTACTTCATTTGTGACCATTAATGTTGTTCTTGTGCCGGGACGCCGTGATATAACTGGAATACTGTTAAGAGCGGCGTTAAACCCAACTCACTCACTCACTCACTGTTCTGCTGGTCCATATATATTCACCCAAGCACACTTTTATCCAACCAACTACCAACCAAACATCCCTCCACCTGGTCCTCTACCTACAGCCCAAACATCCAACAATCCACCCAAGCAGCTACTCACACTGACGCGCACGCGCGCACACACACTGACGCATGCACGCCAACCATATGGCTGTAGAAGTGCAATAATCTTAAACTGAACATTAAACCCAATTTCACATCTCCACTCAACTCCACTCCTCTCCACTCATGACCCATGCATTCCACCAATAAAAATCCCCTACAGCTGCAGGTATAAGCTGTAGAATGTCCTGACCCAAGGTGAAATCAAACTGTTGCCTATCATCTCAGTTGTTATCCCCCGTTGGCGGGGGATATAGAAACGGGCTCTGTCCGTTCGTACGTCCGTCTTCCATGGCAACAAGATGGACTTTTGTTCTGTGAGGGTAGGGTTCGTTTCCGGAGCATAACTCATAAACCGTTCAATATTTTTTCATGAAACTTTGCAGGTTTGTCAGGTACATGCTGAACTGGTGCCTTTTGCTATTTAGAAATTTTCCATGGAAACAAGATGGACTTAGGTTCCAAACTCTTCTTTTTTTACAATTTCATGACAAGTTCCACCTCGGTTAAAAAAGGTTAGGGTTTGTTTAGATTTAATTATGTCATAAATTCTGCAACAAGGGCGGGGAAATAGCCACGTTAGTGGCCCCTACTCTTCTTGGTGTTGAAATGTTCCTACCATACTCACTCACTCACACACTCACTCCTACGCTATCATTATTTGTGTTTGTTTATGCAGAGAGGAAGAGCAAGGTCATCAATGGCGACCAGTTGGATGGCTACAGCAGCTGTGTCATCACGAGTTTGTCCGCGAGCAAGGGTCTGCTTTGGATAGGGACCAATCACGGCTTTGTTCTCACACTCCCTCTACCTCGATTGAAAGATGGTGTCCCATTGGCTAGTGGTCGGCCCAAAATATCGCTCCACTCTCACCGTGGACCTGTCAAGTTTCTGATTCCTATCTATTACTCTAGCAGTGTGGCTGAACTAAACCGGAACAGTTCCTTGTGGTCCTCCCTCCGGCCAAAGCGTCCCAGTCTCAATGACAGGGCAACTGTGGTCAATCAAAACAAAACTGAAGGGATTACCTCCCCTGTCAGTGACAGTGGAACAGATGGAGTTATCTCCCCTGATGGGAAGTCTCATTCAGAGACTTGGCAGGCAGAAATTGATAAGCTGTCAGCGATTAGTGAAAATACTGGTGAATCACCTGTGATTGGTCAGACTGAAACAGCCTCAGAATCGAATTCTGTTCTTCAACCAATAGCTGAAGTAGACACGTCAAATTCAAATGATAAGTCAAATTCTGCAAAGACACCCCAGAGTGCTAGAAGGAGGAAAAGTGTCAAAGACAGTGAAAGTCTGAAGAAAGATAAACCAAAGAGATTGAAATCAAAAACTCTCTCATTCAGGAGTGAACTCGCCAACAAGATTGCAAAACGAAATTTTGAAAGTTCCGACTCCGAGTTGGCGGACGAAGAGGAAGATGAAGTACGTTTGTTGTATGAGAACTTGATGGAGACTGACGATGACATGGAACAAGAAAATGAGGATGATAGTTTCCAAGATGCGATCTCCTCGTTTGAAGAGCTTCCAAGTGATTTGGGTTCACCAGAAAATGCTTTGTCGGCACGGAAGGATGGTCAGACTGTCAAATGGGGGTCGGAGGTGAGACTTAGAGCAACAAGTGCGTCCGTGAGAAGTCGGCATGGAACACTGCATCGTGGGGGGTCTACCCAGGCACACAAGACAGCCACAATGAGAAAGAATCCGTGCAATGCTGTGATCGTTGTGGGAGGCGGGGATGGCTATGTAGACTGGAACAAAACAACCAAACAGAGGACGTCTGAGGATGCAAGTCTCTTGTTATGGATTTATAAGCTCTAGCTGTACTTGTTCTGGTGTCTGAAATGGCATGTTGAATCGAGAACATTATTTTTGAAAATTTCCTGTGCTGACGTGATTGATTGTAAACTGAACAAGCACGTCAGAGATTTGTTTAGTGACTAGCCATGTACATTTTTGAATATTTCATTGTCAGCCATACAAGAAAACATATCAGTAACACAATTTCTTTGTATGTCTGCTTTATAATATTTTATTAATTTAGTGCCATTTCTATTTTCTTTGAATTATCACTGCATTTTCAGTGCTATATGATGAAATATTTGTTAGTCCCAAATTCCTTTATTGTGTGGTTTGAGGTACTTTTGGTGAAAACTCCTGGTAAGGTATGGTTAAAAATTAGAACAATAATGACAGTTGCGATTTGGGGTCTGTTTTGCAAAATGTTTTCAGAATATCTTTGTGAACATCTGAAGTTCGTCTCAGACGTTTGCAGTTTACCTTGTGGTATGAAGATTTTGTGTTGGTCAGCACTTAGCAGATTTCATATTTAAATCATAATTTTTGAATGATGATGTAAGTTTACATTTTGTCTCAAAACCACAACTAGAACATGACTGTAGATTAATGAACAACTCAATGATCTTGATTATTCACTATTTGCATTGTTTTTAAAACTCTTTCAGATTTATACATTGTTACTATGGTAACCAGTGCTGATGTTATGCTTTGTTACCAAGGTTACCAGTGCTGTTGTTATGTTTTTTGATCATTCTAAATGGGGAATGTATGTTGACCGAGGTTTGTTTTCCTCGTTTTGGTTAACAATCATTTTAGATTATTCTTGTATACAATATTTGAAGAATTTATTTTGAAATGTAATTTTGAAATACATGGTATGCCTCTTTGCAGTGTTGAATGATAAATTTAGGTAATTCGTACGAAAATTGTCCTGAATTCTGTGCAAGACTTCCAGTTTGTTATTTCTCATGTTATGTTCTGATGATGTGAGCAGAGAAAGTACAAGGGGTTTGACCTGTTAAGATCCGGGGTAGAATAGGTCTTTAGCAACCCATGCTGGCCGTAAAAGGCGACTGTGCTTGTCGTAAGAGGCGACTAACGGGATCGGGTGGTCAGGATCGCTGACTTGGTTGATGCATGTCATCGTATCCCAATTGTGTGGATCGATGCTCATGATGTTTATCACTGGATTGTTTGGTCCAGACTCGATTATTTTCAGACCGCCTTCATATAGCTGGAATATTGCTGAGTGCAGCGTTAAACAACAAACAAACAGACAAAAAAACAAACCAAAAAAAAACAAAAAACTGAGATGGCTGTGAGTGAAGGGAGAGTGTCGGCGTGAAGACAGCAGATCTGTGACTGAAATGTTTAAAGGTTTTGTCATCAGTACAAGGGCCACATCACCGCACCAGGGCCAGCTGTTTTGTCTGTTTTGTTGCCATGACAATATTCCAGGTGTATTGGAGCGGCTGGTAAATAATCAGTGACTGAAAGAGTGAGCAACAATGTTGTCGGGTCAGTGACATGCAATCGCCCATCCACAGAGTCTCATCATCTGATCCAATTCAGTCAGCGCTAACCTGGGTCTCCTCATCTATTTAGGTCAGTGGGGTAGCCTAGCGGTTAGCGTGTTGGCTTGTCTCACTGACCACTGGTTCCATTGCCCTGTGGGTGAAGCATGAGGTGGCTCAGTCAGGTTCCTGGAATATTGCTAAATGTGACAAAATAAACTCACTCTGTTACTATCGCTGGCTCAAGTAATGAGGGGGCACGGGTGGCCCAGTCGTCTAAGGCGCCGCGATTCGCTGTGCAGAGTTGCGTCCCTTGGGCACGCCAGAAACCTATGATTGTGTGTTCGAATCCCGGTTCGCCCCGATTATGTTTCTAGGTTTGTCAGAACCATACCCGTGCTCATGGGTTTCACCGAAGTGGTAAACGTCTGAGACCTGCATCACTTTGGGCTTTCCTCCCACATTAAGCTGACACGCCGCGATATAACTGGAATATTGTTAAAAGCGGTGTAAAACCAACTCACTCACTCACTCACTTAAGTAATGACATGGAGCTTAGAGATGTATCTAATTCTTACATGCATCCAAATATATCTAACGAGATGTGTTTCGAGAATTTCAGGTAGATCTTGCTAAATGATCAAATGACCTTTGAGATGCCCCCCGGTAATGTTGTACTAATTATCAAATAACGGTGCTTGTTGTACAGTGTTGTACTGGATGTTTGTACATATCATGTTTCTAATTTATTGTTGATCATGAATATATTTGTATACACTGAATATAAATATAAAACTATATATATGTACACACCTCTCTTCTGCATCACAAGGTGTAACTGTCCTGTCATTAGAGGGACCATATAGCAAGTGTTATCCTGGTGATCTCCGTCTACTTAAACGTTGACTTTCAGCGACTTTGTAAACACTGCCGTCATGGACTGACCTGCTTGAGTGTTTGTCAGTTTGTCAGTGAAATTGTTGCAGTGAAATTGTTGCAGTGAAATTGTTCGTGCACTAAAGCTTCTTGTTCAGATTTGTTAATGGAGTTTACCAGCCTACAGACTTAGATATTGTTTGATGAATCAGCTTCTTGACATGTTTATCTTGCCATACTGTTTCCATGGTTACTAACAAATTAAGCCCAGAAGTAGTTCATTTCAAGAATGTGAACCCACCAGAGGAATTATGAGAGTTTGCAATTACAACATAGCAATGATAATGATTACAGGCTCCTGGTTCATGCGTAGGAGAGCAAACCATTCAATATCAGCAGCCAGCCTCACAGTGTGTTGAGGAGGTTCGGTATTTTGAAAAGGCAATTTTAAATGAATTTTCATTGTTTTACAGATTTTATACAGAATATGTCAAGATGTGGGATGAGGGTTACTTACTAAACATATTGAATTGTATGTTGATTAAAGGGCATATGAATTCAAGTTTATCATTTTGAAAATGCTTCTTTGTATTTCTTATTATTAAAAACACTACGGACAGAATTGAAATATGCTGAGTTTCCATTTATCACTTCAAAGTTTGAGAAAGACTTTTCAGGACAACGAATGTGGTTTTTTTTCATTCGTCTTCGGAGTTTGTAGATAGACCTGCTTGATGCATCTTCCCGAGGCAAGGGAGTTAACTGGCTATAAAACTACGCTGGAATTATGGAGTTATATTTTGGCTGGACTAACAAATCTATGCATAGTCCAATCAAATCGGGTCACGAAATTGACATCCGGTTCGTTAACTGCCCTGCAGATTTCGGACAGTTGCAGGATTTACAAAGCATGTTAACCATCAACTCGGCGCCAACATATACTTTCCAAATCTCTGCATGTTCTTTCAAGGTTCTCACCTGACTTGATGCACTACGCAAAGTAAGACCCTTTTTATAACAATATAGATCTTGATTATCGACCAGATCGTCTTGACGAGGCGCCCCATTTTGTACGAAGCAAATGCAAGTGATCTTAGAGGTGGAATCTGATTGGTCAGTAGGATGATAGGAGGGACTGGTGGTGCTACGACCGAGCCCAGCGATTCAATCCTAGTTCGGCAAGGGTGGAAACTGGACTTTTATAGTCAGTTAACTCCCTTGCTCAAGAAGATGAGCTTGATGAAGACAAAAATATGTACTGTGTATTATGTTTACATATTCTGTCAGTTTTATTTAGTTCCAATTTGTAGTAAAATTGAAGCATTAGGAAGTGGTTCAGGATTACTGCCCTACTGGTCAATGAGACCTACCATCATTAGATTTTTACTTGCCCTCAGCACAATTTAGTAGTCATGGGCTAGCAGACTAGCATGAAATTTCGAAGGCTAACAAATTATGATGTTGTTGTGCAATAATTAGAACAGTATCAATATGAAATGTTGTTTTTAGATCAATCTACGTCTAGATGATTGTAAATAGGAAAATTGCAGTCAGTAGAGGAAAGATGCTGTTGATTTCCTTACCTATTTTATTATCTTATAAATGCTTCTATCAATGTATGCTGGTTGACCCATTAATGTCCTGTTTGCAAAGGGCACATTTTTTATGTAATCACTTCAATTTCCTGTACTATTGGTTTTTGTGTTCTGTATTGAGAGATTAGAGGGAAACATTCAATGTAAACCAGATCAGTGCAATATTCCAGACACCTGCCTTTATGTTAAGTTATGAAAATAACAAGTAAGTGTTTTATAAAGAAAGTAAACTTGCAACTATTTTTTATTCACACATGGATCTAGGTCTACATGTTGGTAAAAGTCCTTGCTTTGAGAGGGTTATCCTGATGTTATGTGTGAAGTAGCCTCTATCTCACTGATAACAGGACCAATAAGGAGAAAAGGATGCTTTTAATACGTCACTTGAGATGTTATTTACGAGGGGTGTTCAATAAGTTTTGCAACTTCAATATAAGACAATGGGGGCTAAGTCTTGGCTGTAGGTTGGGTGATTTAACTGTACAGCCTTACTTAGCCCCCAGTGACTATTTCCTGTTCCGTCAAATGAAATCTGCCCTACGTGGAAGATGCTTCCAGGATGACGAGGACATAAAGGCTGCCACAGAGGCGCGGTTAGAGGGCCAATCTGGGGATTTCTATAAAAGTAGTATTAAAAGCTTGAAGGACAAATGGAATGAGTGTATTGAGGTGAATGGAGATTATATTGAAAAATAAAAGTTCAAAAGATATTCTGCGACTTTGTCTTATATTGAAGTTGCAAAACATATGGAATGCCCCTCGTACCTGTGAAGTTAAAATAAATTCCCAGTTTGGGTAGAATATTGCTTTTACCCTCAGTTGCTCTCCTGCCAACTGCTAGATAACCCTACTTCATGTTATACATAGTTCTCAAAATGTTGGGAGCACGGGTGGCCCAGTCGTTGAAGGCGCCGCAATTCGCTGTGCAGAGTTGCGTCCCTTGTGCACGCCAGAAACCTATGATCGTGAGTTCGAATCCCGGTTCACCATGATTATGATTCTAGGTTTATCAGCACCATACACGTGCTCGTGGCTTTCACCGAAGTGGTATACATCTAAGACATGCGTCACTTTGGGCTTTCCCCCCACATTAAGCTAACACGCTGTACTGTTAAAAGCGGCGTTAAACCCAACTCACTCATCCTCTAAATGTGGTACAGGGAATTCACACAATATGGAATGATACGTCGGAGCTAACCATGCTGTATTTCACACTTCAAGTCTTCCCAAGCAGTATTTAGTGCAATATTCCATACAGAGTTAGGTCCCTTACATGTGCCAGGATCTGCTGGTTATGTGTTTGAATCTGAGATTTGTCCTTTTGTATCCTTGGCATGTCCTCAGCATGCCTGTACATATATGTTTCACTGACCGGCACCACATGGGCTTCCCTCACACATGCCGTGATATAACTGTCGTAATGTAGAAATGTTAATGATTTGTTTTGTAGGAGCATGGTGGTGTTCAGGATAGTATAGATATCCAGCATACCTAGAGAAGTAAGTTTGTGTATATTATCAGTAGTTGGAAGTTGCGTGTATATGTTCACTATATCAGGGTTCTGGAAAACTGGTATGGATTATCTGAATCTGAAGTTTGTTGGTCTCGAAATAAATTGGTTTACTTTGTCAAGTTGACACAATGCATGGGGAGAGCCTGGAAATTTTGTGGAAGAGCGATTATTTTTCGGGGGTGGGGGTACCCCTGATAGTGTTGTTCACAATATCAATCACTGGATTTTCTGGTCCAGACTCGATTATTTTCAGGCCGCCGTCATATAACTGGAATATTGCTGAGTGCAGCGTTAAACAACAAACAAACAGACAAACAAAACAAACTGAGATGGCCGTGCGTGTGGAGTTAAACAACAAACATAACTCATGTTTTTTCAAAACTCTGTTTTGGGGAGTAAATCCGTAACACAAATAGTGTTTTTCCACCATTTCCTGAAACAAATTATAATAATTCGATCAAAATCCAAGCCCATCCCCAAAGTAACAAAAAAATGTTGATTTCTGAGAGGTTTTGCCCAAAATATGTTCACCTGGCCTAACTATGTACTCCTGGCCCTGGATAGAACTACATAGGGTGCATCGTGTTTTCAAATTGTTTGCGGAACCCTGTGAATCGTATAACCCCTGTTAATCATGTGACAACAATGCTTCATTTGCTCATTGTACATGTATATGGTGATATACCTGTATCGCTCCTTGGGTAGTCATACTGAGAGGCATTCTCTCACCCAGTTGTTGGCATTTCTTCTGTAAAATGTAAGCAAATGTTTGAATGGAAATGATGTCTTTGGCCTTTTTATATTTTTAATCTGTGGAAGTGTTGTGATGTTGTTGCTGTATCAGGATCATGTTGTCAGGTTGTAGCCGTAACAGGCGACTATGCTTGTCATAAGAGGCGACTAACAGGATCGGGTGGTCAGGCTTGCTGACTTGGTTGATGCATGTCATCGTATGCCAATTACGTGGCTCGATGCTCATGATGTCAATCACTGGATTGTCTGGACCAGACTCTATTTTCAGACCGCTGTCATATAGCTCTAATATTTGCTGAGACTGGCATTAAACAACAAACAAACAAATTGTAAGGTTGTAAAAGATGGACAAATGAGAACGGTGCCACAGCCTTGGGATAGATGTTCATATTGACTGAGGTCCACCTTTTCTATGTACGATTTTATCTTGTGTAATATTTGTATGCGCAATTTTTTTCTTAAATGTTCTTGTTATTTTTTCCTTCAATTTATGACATTTGTTAAACGGCTGAACTGGTGTTCTCTATTTAACTTGTTATCAGTCAAGGCTACAAGAAACTGCTCCAGTAATAGGAACATCAGTGGCAATCTTAAAGATTAAAGGTTTAAATTATGTTTGTGTTATGTGCCGAGAATCAACTTGCCATACTTTAAAGCAACAATTCCTGCATTAATTTACACAGACCTTGTATAATAGATAGATTCTATATGAGTATTGGCCATTTGAGATTGCCTTTATTGTTTATCCATTTTCACCCTTCATTGGAATATGACAGAATTATATATCAAGTTAAAGTTATTACATGTGATTATGTCGTGTTTGTGGTCTGATCATGTGTTGAGGTGACAGGTAGAAAAAATATACTTTTAACTCTTTAATTGTATTTTGAACAGGTGATATTCTCTGTAATCATTCCATGCAATATTTTCATTTGCTTGTAAATTGTGTTAGAAGCTGCAGTTATTCTCATGATTCAGGACAGTATATGCCACATATATTTTCTGTAAACGATATTATGGAATAAATACATTGTTTTACTAAAGATTTGTACTTGTTGACACAAACAGTGTGTGCCACCTGGAGTATGTTCCTCCCATCTTCTGTGTAAATCATGTCTGAAGGCAGGTTTAGTTGCCTGATAACATTGGTCAAGCCAGCTGAAGGCAGGTTTAGTTGCCTGATGACATTGGTCAATCCAGCTGAAGGGAGGTTTAGTTGCCTGATAACATTGGTCAATCCAGCTGAAGGCATAGTCAAGGAGCCTGTTCCACAAGTTCATGTTCTGGGACTGTGCCCCTCGTCACTTGTCCAGACATTGATTACCGCAACCAGGATCTTGCTGCTGTGTGACATCTGTCATAGGTGTTTAAGCTGATCACTATCAATACAAAAAAAAAAGATCATTCTTTTTAAAAGCATTTATTGCCAACATGTGAGACAATGTAACGATGAATTGCATGTTTATCATGTAATAATCACAGATACAGGTTATGAACAGTGGTATTCCATGCCCCAACATGAGATATAGTTCCTGGGTAAACCTCGTCTAATGCCAATGAGAATTCTTCCTCTTCCAATTTCAACCCTGATGACTTGAGATCAACATGATATACGTTGTAATAGTTCACCCACAAAATAAGGGTCTGGAGAGCTTTTCAGACAACTTCTTTCTTTCTGGAAACAAACAGGTATTGCTAAGTTGTCTCCCTTAGACTAGTCAAGGTTTGAAAGAAGCAGTTGAAAATACTGGAATGGATACATTATGATCCTTCAAGAGAGAAGAGGTGAGATTATATTAGGTATATTTAAACAGTAAATAAATATAATATACAGCATGTACAAGTTTCTCTAAATCGGTCATCTCTCTTAAAGAATCATGAAGATCCACACAACCCTTGCTCTTTCAGGAAAATTATGTTTGACCTCAAACTCTTCAGTGCAAAATACTTTGGCTCTTGACATCATTTTCAGTCGATTTTAGTTTTATTATGTGAACTATTATTAGCTGAGAAACAGAATTGTACCAGACTCGGGCTTCAGATTAGTAGCTAAAGTCTAGGGCTGGGACGATACACCAACAGTGCAATCTGATAGGTATTACGATCCGATACGTATCATGATACTTGTATCGAGAAGTGAAAAATCGTGATCCACTCATGCATCGATGTATCATCCCACTACTACTAACGTCACAGACTGATTACTCAGCACTTTGATGACTAGCCACAATATTCACTATACAAGTAATCAAAAGCATTAAATAGCCACAGTAAGATTTGAAGTTTTGTCTGAATCTAAATACCTTTAACGGGCAAGGATGTGTTTCCCAAATAATACACCAAATATCCCAGGGACAAACGTCTGAACTCTCCTGAAAGACCACAGGTTGTTGTGTGCGTGAATAGTGACATGATAGTGAACCCATGCTACGTGATTACTGGTAGTCAGTCAGTCAGTCAGTCCGACCACACACACGGGATACAAGTGACTAAATTCACACAGTTCACTCTGGTATTGTATTTTCTGGGTAAGCACCTGAGGGTAGACACAAGGGTTGACACTACCTGGAGAAGGAGGAGCAATGACACTGGACAAGAAGTAGCCCACAAATAGCGTTAACATGGTTACAAACAAGGATGCTGTTATCTAGAAATGTCGTCCTGGATATTGTTGAAAAAAAATATGCTCTCACGGTCACAATGCACATCTGTATTTCTAAATTTTGTTTGATTGAAAAAATTATGATTCCAAAGGTGTATAAATAGAGCAAATTTTGAAAATGTAGTTCTGAAGACACTGAACTACCAGAAAATCGTTTTACCAAGAAATTGTTAAAAAAAATAATAAATAAATAATTTCAGATTCAGTTTTCACCAGGAAAATGTCAGTGTGACATAGACTTACGACAGTATATGACCTGCTCCAGCCTTTCTCCAAGTAGTGCTGAGTGGCAGACCTCTGTTAGTGATAGAGGCGGACTCCAATACTAGGACATAGTACCACTGGGCAGCTAACAAACAAATCAACAATACTCCCTCCACAGGGCAAGGCAAACAATATCTGCTTCAACTGCAGAAAATAACAAATCATCCAAACCTATGGCTGGGCCTCATTCAAGGCAGAAAAAGCAAACTCGTTGCTGTAAAAACTGACGTATTTGCCCCTCGAAACATGAATAATGTGGGCAAATAGTGGCACTTTGAGTTTTATTGTTGCATCTTACGCAGTTAACTTTCGTCTATTACATCCTCCTCACAAGTTTACACAGCAAATACATCTGCCCCACGGGGCAAACAATTTCCTTTCGAAATAGTTTCTTCAGTGAGGAGGGAGAAGCTAGCTCGCAAAGTCTGTGGGGGAAATCTAGACTAGCACTGGCCAAATCATACCACAACTCAGATACAGGTTAGTCTCCGATATGGTCTCCAACCAAGACGACAGGAGGGGAGATGGGTAATATACGAGCATGCTGTTACACCATTACAACATCCTAGGGAATAAACAAGCCGTATCTCACACGACTCCTTCATACTGGATACAAATAACTTCATTTTAGTCATGCCATTTGTTTTCATCAAATCTTTATACCAATCACTGCCAATTTGATAGAATTATCAAAGGTCCACTACCCTTAGTAAGTACATTGTCAGAATGTCACAAAGGCCTTACTGAAATGAAACACTGGGTGTTTAAACATGCTTATATTCAGACTTGAAGTCTTCAATAAATTTTACCCTCAATTTTCAAAACCAACAACTTGAAATGTCTGGACAGCACTTTCCATATGATAATGTACCACGTAGACACAGTATTGATATCATTGGCCTGACTTGAGTAGGTGAGAGATGCATACATTATATGTACACAGATACGGCATACAGACCTCCCTTGCTAGTCTGACAACATAACGTTACAGGAAGGACACTTATTGTCAGCATGAGTTGCACGAAGACCTCTCCGCCACACACGGTCGTACAAGCGTAATGTACACAAACACTTCGTAACTATCCCAGTACAACATTCACATGACCTCATACACGCTAGATAAATAGTGGATGTCAGACCCTGCCAATACACTTGGCATCAAGTTTTCCACGACTATACGTCTGGTCTTTCTCCATTCACACTTCCCATCATGCAATTTCAAAGATGGTTCTTCAGCACATTTGTGATAAGTTATATAACTGTCTGTAGACATCGGTGACAGACATCTGCCAATCAGCCGACATCATGCAGCAGTGAACACTCGGCTAGCGAAAGACTTGGCAGCATTTACAAAGGGAGATAACCCAGGGCACACTGGCAGTGACGCTGTGACACAGATATCAACAAGTCACTAAGTCCCCGGAACTGGATGTCAAGACAGGGCTTAGTCTACCGCAAACTTTGGAAATCATGAAGTAAACATTTGCTCCGACATGCTTTGACGGTAGATTCTTCAGATTAAACAGCTGAGGCGGGCGAGTTACAGGTTTATCCGCTTGAATGTGAACTTTGTACGGTATGCCAGTCTGTTTCCACATTCCTTGAACATCACAATACTCCCTCCACGTTCCGACATATCACAGAAATAGACCACTGATCCTCGGGATGAAATGCACTCTCAGACCACAGTTTATTCAGAACCTTTTTCAGTCGTGGTTACGACCTCGTGTATCTTGTCAACCAGTACACTACAGGTTCACCTAATGTTGTTGTTGAACTATTTCTGACTTGTAGACGAAAGATTTCTTCGTCCTGGAAATCATTGTCTCATAGTGTTAAATTTCTCGCCATTGTGAAAAAATCAAAACGTGTTCCTTGTGTGTGAGAAATTGAAAACCAAGGGCATTTAAACAGCCTCCAGCATGATCCTACCGTAGGTAGATCACAATTCTTATCACATTCTCGCGATCACAAAAACTGCCAGTGTAGCTGTAGTCACATGACCCCTGGGTCAACGCTCCCGACACGAACATCGACGCGCATTGCGTCGTCTCACATCTTTAGCTGTTCCATCATGTTGGAGAAGTCCGACAGCCTTTGATAGTCGGGATCTTCCTCCCGATCGTCCTTATCACTGTCTTTAAACATGGGGTTGTTGGCCTTCCGGGGCAGCTTGAGCGTGCATGGCAGCATCTCCCGCATGACTGTGTGATGGATCACCAGCGCTGTCAAGTTGGACCACTCCTTGTCCAGGCCCTGAAACAATGGAAACATACAAGCATTGAAACAACCAAACCAATAATGCAGAGTGCAACATTTAGTCAGTGAGTTAGGCTTGACCCCTCTTAAAAAGTATGCGAGTTATATCACAATGTGTCAGCTTATTGTGGGAGGAAGGTCTGAGGTGAATCAGGTCTTAGAAGTTTCAGCGGTAGAAACTAACATTTTTAGTCCTCTAGTCCTTATAATGATAACATATAGCAAAACTCTTAAAAAGGGCAAATTTCTACTAGTCCTCATGATACAGTGACATTAGGTGCACTTTTCAGGCTGAAGGGAAGGGAGTCATGAGGGAATGGTCCTATGGTTCTGCTTTGATAGGATAGAGTGGGGGCATGGATGGCCCAGTCGTCTAAGGTGCCGCAATTTGCTGTACATAGTTGGGCATAGAAACTTGTGACTGTGGGTTCAAATCCTGGTTTGTCAGCACCATCGTGGATTTCACCAAGTGAGAAAGTAGAAATTGGCACTTGTCCTATCGTCCTTGCCAAACTGCCCAATAGTTAAAGTATTTTAGTCTGGACTCAAACATACCTTTTTGAACGCTACACCTGAATGTGTATATTATTACTATCTTACTGTCCCCTCTCTGTTGTATATATGTACATATGCTGAATTTGCGCATTAAACATGTCCCTCAGTGGTATGGATTTTGTGCTATATAAATAGCCTGATGATGATGCTGGTGATGATGCTGGTGATGATGATGATGCCTACTTTACAACGTCAACACGCAGTCTTATCCACAACATGATAATGTCCATGACCAGGACTTAAGCACTGACATGTCTGCCCCTAATCACGGGTGCTTAGCATTACCGTGTAAGCCCTGGAGGTCTGGCTAAAGATTAAGCACACTTAACCTAAATCCCCAGGACTTTAGACTTGTATATGGTAATAGGGCTATTGCCACACCAGGAAGATAACAGTTAGTTAATATCAAGAATGAAGGGAATGTAAAGACTCTTTAAGGCAGATTATACAACTGATCATGGAAGCTTCTTGGCTTAGATGGATGTTGACGGCATAATGCCATGACTTCTGGAATGATATTCAAGTGATATTTTGCTAAAGACACATTGAAAGGCTATTTTGTAATTTAGGTGCTTCATCCAGCGCCACAACAGCTGATGTACCTACATGCCCAGTACAATGCCTCTAGGTTGATAATACCTAATGGGGATTCTGGGTCAGAATTCGTCACCTGAGCCTCATGCTTGCTTGTTTGATGGTGTTTGTTGTTAAAACACCACACTCAGCAATATTCCAGCTATATGATGGCAGTCTGTAAATAATCTAGTCTGGACCAGACAATCCAGTTATTGACATCACGAGCCTCAATCCACGCAACTTGGATACGATGACATGCATCAACCAAGTCAGCAAGCCTGACCACCCGATCCCGTAGCCTCTTACAACAAGCATGGTCGCTTTTAGCTGAAGACCTATTCTATCCCGGATCTTCACGGCCTTAGACTTTATGTCCACCAGGGATCATAGAACTATTTCTATTGTAATCTCGCAGTGTGAAGCTATTACTATACTCTTATATGTTTGTTCAGAACATTCATACAGCTTACACAACCAAGTTAATTTAGTCTGTGGTTAGAAGCTCATGTAGTTTCTCCAGGAACGACATTGCATGACAGTCAATACCATCCCAACATGAATTTACGTTTAACATTCTCAACTCCAGACTGTCCTTTCAACTACCTGGAACAGCGACATCATTTTCACATAGCAAATGGTTCTGAATGTTTCTGGAATTTAGTAGGCAAGTGGGCTCAAAATAGAGTCTTGATTGGCTTATTTTTTTAACCCAATTGCTCTCAACAAGCATGCTGAAGATGCTGCCATTTGAAGAGGAGACATATATTCCATGACCATGTGTTATGAAGTACATCAGTAGAAGAGACAGAGATGCTTGAAAGTGGCAGGGATAATACAGCACACTGGGGGCCGGGTCCAAGCCTTCATCTGCCAGGAATATCCTTTCAGAGTAGATGCAGATAATGGATTGCACCCACAAAAACATCTTAATTAGCACTTGCTGTCATAGTGCTCATGTCTCCTTTGACAAAACCAGGCTCCATTACTGCTTGGTAGATAATGGCTGTGTTCTTGTTCAGGAAGAGGTGTATTAATACCTGCCAGGCAATTGGCCTTTGATAAGTCTAGGGTGAAGGTCACATGAAGTTCTTGAAATTTGGTAACCCAGAGATTTCACTGGAAACCTAGCATCTGTATTATCGGACACAGATTATCATATCTGACTATCCCTCCTCCAAACTGGGAAACCATCAAAGCCATTTTGGATATGATCCCCATTCTACCTGCCCTGGGTAATATTGACCACAGGTGCTATGCTGCTAAACATGCTGTTTTCACAAACTCACCTTTAATTTGACTCCTCGCTGTGTTTTTATTATAAGATAATGTGAAATTCCGCTAGCGTTTTCATACTTTGGCACTCGAACAGACAGAGCGAAACAGCCAGGATGTGTGGTGCTGTCTCGCACAATAAATGATCCCACATCTTCCTGCTGCAGAATCTCCAGGGCGATCTCCCTGTAAGAAGAGGGAACTTGTCAACTCCATGTACAACATGTTAACTAGGTTGAACCACAGCATAAACTGACTTGATCAATAAATCAATAAACACAGAAACTAAAACAAACAAACGTAAACTTAAACAGAAACCAGTGATGCAGTGGAAATAACCATAGACTTGAAAACCTTATGTTGCAGGGTACAAAACAAATCATTACCAAATAAAAAGAGTTGAGCATAAACTGCTACCTCTACCAAGCCAGGAGAGATACCACTCTGTATGTGTTGGTGTATGTGGAAAGAACCGTCTCATGTAAGCGACACGAAATATCGGATGTAGTAAAACCATGGTGTCAGAAGTCGGATATATATATATGAGTGAGTATGGTTTAACGCCGCCTTTAGCCATATTTCAGCAATATCACAGTGGGGAACACCAGAAATGGGCTTCACACATTGTCAGAAGTCGGATATATGTATGTGAGTGAGTATGGTTTAACGCCGCCTTTAGCAATATTCCAGCAATATCACAGTGGGGAACACCAGAAATGGGCTTCACACATTGTCAGAAGTCGGATATATGTATGTGAGTGAGTATGGTTTAACGCCACTTTTAGCATTATTCCAGCAATATCACAGTGGGGAACACCAGAAATGGGCTTCACACATTGTACCCATGTGGGGAAATCGAACCCGGGTCATCTGTGTGACGAGCGGACACTTTAACCACTAGGCTACCTGACTGCCCCTATACATATATGTATGTAACTATATGCATATATTTATATATTTGATCATATTGTCCTTATTTCATCTTATGAAAAGAATTTAACATTGAGCACCAGAACAATCTTCTAAAATGTCATGATTAAGTTTTTCCTGCATAAATCCAAGATTTCATCTGATCCCTGGTCGCCTACCGCCACAATGGTACTTATATACACTTGATATATATCCCGACAGATAAGGTTCATGTTTTCCTTGACCGTCAGGTTAACATTGATTGATGATGGGGATTTAATAGTACAATATTTGCCACCTTATATCTGGCCCTGATAACCGGGCCCCCCAAGGTGAGATGCACAATGACAACCGGGGCGCCGACAGCACCTCCAGACATACTGGCTTCCCAACCAGATTCAACTCCGACATTGTATGTAGAGTCAAAGGTAGTTTCCACACAACTCTAATTCACCCATCAACAACTTCACCAGGCCTGGAAAGTGTCAAACCTGCTCTTAAAGCTACAACACAATTTCATATTAACATTACTTATTCCTGATTTTAGAAACCCAAATTATTGTCTTCAACTGACAAATACTGTTTCCAACAGACTTTCAACGTATATGACTCAATTATTAACAGAAACAGTGGTAGATATCATGTTTTAAATCCAAAGTTAAAGTTATTTAAGACATGGTATACTACTCAACTTTTGATAGGGATCAGGAGTATCTAGTGGGTCAACCAACCAATGAAATGAGTAACAAGAAATCTACATTAGCCAATCAGAAAGCAGCTTTCTAGCGCTTTACGGCACTAGTTTCAAAATGGTGACTTCCATTCCACACTACGCTTTGAAAATATATTGACAGCACGATTCAAATTTGTAAACTGAACAAAGCCAAATTGTGGAATGTCTAATAGATGACTGAGATTGTATGACAGTGTTCCCACGGGCTATGGAAAGTCTCTTCCGTTTCAAATGTTTACCCCATTGAAGTGAGAGATAAATGATGATTTTGACTATGTCGTACAGGCCGTAACTGTCGTTCAGAATACCCCATGTCAAGCTTTTTTGAGGTTGCATGATCATAAAACACATTCCAACTATCACTTTCCCGATCTGGTAAGTGACACTCTGATTGGTCGGATGAAAGGTCGTTCTGACGTGACCCGTAATGGGATGGCCTCAAGTCTTTGTTTAGTGGTAGTGAGAAATAAGATCTGATTTTGATGAGATTGACATTTTAAGAAAATAGCCATAGATTGTATTACATCAGCGTTTTCTGAGTTGAGAAGATTTATCTTGATGCTTATTACACAATTCAGAAACTATCACACGATCAGATGTATGGGCCATGAACGAGATGAACGAGATGGTATATTGAGCCAATATGCCACCAGTTCCTTCTGCAACAGAGGGAACTTACATAACATTGTGCTGATGGTGTTGCAGGGATAGAAACTAACAGTTTTAGACCACTAGTCCTTTTAATGATTGTGCAGTTTGGCAAGGACGACAGGACTAGTACCAATTTCTATCGTTGGTGTTGTTGTTGTTGAATATTTTCACAAATAAGGATTTGGGTATGCATGTGTGTATGTCTCAAAATGTATTTTTAACCGACATCAAACTTTCGAAGTGGTGGTGAGCCAATATGACAGGTATCATGACAGGGTATCATACCTTGGTATCCCAGCCTGGTACCAGGGGGCATGCCTTAAAGCCTCATCCTCGATGTGACTGCGATCTAGGCACATGAGGGACTCCAACCTGGAACAGACAAGACACACGTTAGCCCAGGGCACAAGCCAACATCAAACACTACAACAGGTGATAAGTGATGTTATCACCCCGCACAGACCCTGGGTACAGCTAATGGTCAGGTACAAGTGACTCCATGTATGATATCAGATGAACACAATGGGTGGTGTTCGTGGGGAAAGTGTATAACGCAGATATACCCTAGGGGCCGCACTATATGAGATAGTACAATAATGAAATTAGCTCCTGTCCTGCAAAAGCTTTCAAGGCTGTTCAGGCCTTTGAAGGACACAATACAAGGCAGATAACAGGATAGTATTGGATGAAAGCTGATCAAAGGCTGGCAGACTTAATGGAAAATGTCCATTCTAGTTATATTGTTGCAGGGTTCTGACACTATGGAGGACATATCTGATGAAACAGGACCAAAGTGTACAAAGCAATCTTAGCGGTGGAGAAGAGAAGAGAGAGAGGGAGAGTATGGTTTTACACCGCTTTTAGCAATTTTCCAGCAACATCACAGTGGGGGACACCAAGAAATGGGCTTTACACATTGTAATCATGTGGGGAATCGAACCCAAGTCTTCGGCGTGACGAGCAAACGCTTTAACCACTAGGCTACCCGACCACCCCCCCTCTGGAGAAGAGGAGTTCTAGCACTATAATCACTCTATGTATGTCTGCCCGGAGTCTATAGACCTTGTACAGAATGTTGCATATATTTCTGTCTTCCATATCTGTCACAATACCAACCCATTAGCCTAATGAAGTTTAAGAATTTTGACCAACCAACAGAAACCTTGACCAACTGACCTGTCAGTTGGTAAAGGATTAATACTAAAGTTCATATTTTATGATTCCATCTGATACTTGAAACAGTCTTTTTATCAACAAGTTTCATCTGTGCATGATTTGTCTGACCTATCATTTCATCGCTAGCGGCAACTGGACAACATCTTCCGTTCACTCCCAACATTACTTTTGTCAAAACCGGAGGCAACACATAAAAGATCAAATTGTTTCGCAAAAATTTGTCTCCATTAGCCCCAAGACAACCTCCCATCTTCAGTGTAATAAGCTTCAAATATTCACAGCTATAAAGTGATAAATATCAGCTATTACATTTTATATAATTTTGAAAATGATGTCCCTCCGGTATATGGAATAGTAAGCAACAAGACTAGGCCATTGGAATTCTCTCTTGGTTTTTTTTGTTTTTTTAGTTTTCAAACTTGAACAATTTGAAATGTCATCCATACCGACTCCTGGAGGGGCCATTTGTCTTCAAACAACATGCAAGAATGCAGCATTCACATTTAAAAAAGCCAAAGATCAACTGTGACATTTCTCAACTATTAAGGAATCTCAAAGTAAAACACATATTTCTGTAAACTTATATCTCCCATTCCTTCATCAACAATAGTAATGGCATGGAGCGCAGTTTACCTGAGTGTGAAGCAGTCAGAAATACCTTCTGAAATACTGCCCAAGAGATTTGGGAGAATCAGCCCTGGCGACAGAGACTTTGCACAAACATGAGAAACTCTCTATTGGAGCAAATCATCTCATTGTTTCACAGCGACAAACACAAAAATTTTGAATTCAAACAAAGTTTATTTGTGAGCTTGCTCTCCGAGGTGAGGTGACGTGTGTAGTAAGCTGATATCTTGCCTGCTTTGTCATATCATATTACATGTATTGTAGGGGTCATCGCCGCAGGAGCACACGGAATTCCACCACTCAATAAATACCAGCTAATAGTTTTGGTGTTCTAGGACTCCATTTGAAGACAGAAATACAGGAATTTCTGGCTTTGTGGGCCAATGAAAGGTGCTGGAACAAGACAGATTTTATTACCTGCTCAAATTGCAATTAGAATTGTTCCGAAGCAAGGTAATTTGGACACAGGCAGAAACATAGTTAGTATGGAATATTATGATTTTATCGATTTGAAGTCAAGGAAATATTCCTCTGTTATTAATCATGAATAATGTCACATAATCAGTCATTTCTATTCTTCAGCGCAAATGGAGTAATGTTTTATAGACGTCATAACTCAACTAGTGTATCATGAATAGTTATTTCATGGTCGCTTTCATCTCTACTTCACCATTTATTGTTATAACTAAATTCAATTATTCTGCCTTGCACAAAATGCCACACAATTGATGATCCCAACTCACCAAGAACAGTGCTGTGTAGGCCTTTGTTTGGCATGGCTGCTTGGTGAAAGTTGGGTTTTTTGTGTGTTGTGTGTTGGTTGGTTGGTTGGTTGGTGAGTGTGTTGGTTGGTTGGTTGGTTGGTTGGTAGTGAGTGAGTGAGTGAGTGAGTGAGTGAGTGAGTGAGTGAGTGAGTGAGTGAGTGAGTGAGTGAGTGAGTGAGTGAGTGAGTGAGTGAGTTTTACGCCACTTTTAGCAATATTCCAATCATGGCAGGGACACCAGAAACGGGCTTCACACATTGTACCAATGTCGGGAATCGAACCCAGATCTTCGGTGTGACGAGCGAATGCCTAACCACGAGGCTACTCGACCGCCCCTGGATGTGATGTTGTGTGAGTGGTTGTTGTGTGTTGTGGGTTTTGTTGTTGACTAAAAACAAATGGCCTAACATTTAAAGACTAAATGATGCTACATGACATAATCTATTGGACACAACACGTATTACAATTTGCTGGTAACACTGACTAGGTTAGACTTGCACAAGTCTTTAAGGCAATTATCATTAGTTGAAATAATAATTTCTAGATTATGTAAATAATAAGAACAAGTTGTCCCTATAAGTACTGGAGTCTTGCGCTGTCACATATCTAGACTTGCCTATGAGGATGGCATTACTACACATCCATGGACTTATCTTTCAGTAAAGCCTTGGAGCAAGGCTATGACTAGTTATACAAGTCCACTCCTCACGGCGAGGGTGATGTATAGTCTTACAGTAACATCCTTCATGTAGTACAAGCCGTCATCATCGTCACTCACGTAACCACTGACCCTCCCAGACCTTGACTGGGGGATGTAATCAGACACTGTATTCACCTTGCTGGTAATTGGGCTCTATTGTGTTGAACTGAAGCTGTTTTTAACTTAAATCCTTGAACAAGGACATTGCATCTGGGACGTGTTTCAGCGAATGCATTAAATTGACCTTGAGTAATTTGAATTATAAACCATTAATCTCATTCACAGATTGAAAATTTCAATACGTTCATGATTAATATCAGTCTGACATTGATGTTATACAACTGTTGTGTAAAAAACGGTGGACGTTTGAAAGGCAGGGTTGTTTGTCCACAGCTCAAAGCAAGCCCAAACAATGACCTTGCATTAATCTCTGTAGGTAATTCAATTCCGCTACCCACTCTCCCATGACTGGCCTGATTAATTCCAGTCACACACACACACAGGGCCAGTATGGAAATGCAGACATCAAGCACAGGTGTAAACTGTCACACCTGCAATCAAGTGACCACTGCGGTCATGTCAACACTGATGATTGTCACCGAGCGTGCTTGACATCACTGATACTTGGGCATGCTGCATGACAAAATGGGCTATGATGTCAACTCTCACAAGCTGTGCCTGGTCAAGCAGGTCTGTTTGGTTGACATATCCCAAAGAAAATATTATCTCAAAAGCCAGCTACATCACTTGCCGTAAGAGATGACTGATGGGATCAGGCTTGATTGTTGCATGTCATCCCAGTTGCATAGATCCATGCTCATGATGTCAATCACTGGATTGTCTGGTCCAAACTCGATTATTTACATACCGCCGTCATATAGCTGGAATACTGATGAGTGCGGCATTAAACAACAAACAAACAAAACAAAATATTATGAACATATGACAGTGACTAAAATTGTTGGTATGATTTACCAAACAACTGTCACATGGTCATAAATAAGACACCAAGAGTCTTTGTGTTGAAGTATGTGGGGAGCTGAACCTAGGCCTGAGGACCGATGAGAGAACATAGCAACAAAATCATCCAGAAACTTCACAGACAACACTGCAAGTTTTCTTACAAATCACATAACTGCAGAAGATTTTCATCATGAGTGAGTGAGTGAGTGAGTGAGTTGGGTTTTACGCCGCTTTTAACTGTATTCCAGTTATATCACGGCGTGTCAGCTTAATGTGGGAGAAAAGCCCGAAGTGATGCAGGTCTCAGACGTTTACCACTTCGGTGAAACCCACGAGCACAGTATGGTGCTGACAAACCTAGAAACATAATCGGGGCAAACCGGGATTCGAACCCGCAATCATAGGTTTCTGGCTCTGCACAGCGAATCGCGGCGCCTTAGACGACTGGGCCACCTGTGCCCCCTTTCCATCATGAAGCGGGGTGGTCGGGTAGCCTAGTAATAAAACATGAACCCGGGTACAATTCCTGACATCCAAGGGAGACTACATGAAACCTCCAATGAACATCTGGCTCCTTACAACAAAAGAATGACAAACTACTGTAGCAGTGCGTGGTGTCATCCCACAGATGACATCCGTACATTGTCAGCTGTCTGACGGGGTTAACCTCTTTGGTCATGTGGACAAGGCGTCCGACCTCGGATCAGGTCAGTGGTTCGAATCCCATGACAGGAATCGGGCACTTCATGGCCACGCAGCCAGTACACCATCAACAGTCCGACCAGAACAAGAAGGAAACAACGCTGTCCTTATCAGTACATCAACACAAACATCAACAACAGCCTGGTCACACACCAGTAAACAAAACTACTTTTTTACTCATCTTTTGAGAATCTGAAGCAACCGTAAAGTGTCAAGCCTAGTCTTTTATGGTTCAAATCAGACAACAGAGACCTGGCCCCCTTAAAACAGACACCCTGCTGAGTGTGACAGTCAAACAGGTTAAATGGGAGGTGGTGTGTTTAACCGGACCCCAGAGGGAGGCCATGATCCTCCTGAAGATAGGAGGGGTATCATTATGAGATCTGTGGATGTTGTGGAGGAAGAGTATCAGGATAAGTGAGGGGGAAGGAGCACATTTG